TTCTTGGGTGGTGTGAAGTGAGAAACTGTTGGGTCGGTGTTACATGTGTTCGTATCCTTTGCCACTCATTTCCCTGTTTTATTAAACACCTACTATGTGCCGGGGTCTGTGTTAAGGTGTCGTGGTGAACAGCTCAGACGCTGATGTTGCCTTACTGGGAAATGGGGGCAGACCGAGAGAGGAAGCTGGTAATGAGCAAGGAGCAGCAGAGTCAGCGCGACAGTGAGGGGTAGGAAGGTGGACGTGACTTGAATGGGTGGCCTCCGAGCCGATACCTGAATGACGAGATTGAGCCAGCTGTGGAGGGAAGGGTCAGAGAGAGAACATGCGTCCTGTGCAAAGATCCTGCGGTAAATGAGGACCAGACGAAGAGGGGAAGGCAGCTGAGAGCGGTGGCGCGGGGCTGCCGTGTTGGGCCTCTGTCCTGTCGGGGGAGATGTGTCCCGAGTGGCCGTGCTGTGCCTCCCCTGCACACTGCATCCCCTCAGCAGGACGCTGGTGCAGGAGGTGCCTCCCGGGGCCGCCTCCCCCCAGCCTAGGTCTCCCTAAGCTGAGGACAATCGCGGGTGACGTTCTGACCTCGCGATGGAGGCCAGCTTGTCGGCCTATAGGACTTCCCGGCCCGAGTGCAGATCTGCTGCCTCTGGGCCCCGTCACCTCCCGCAGCCAGCCCGTGTTTGTGGAGCGGGGCCTCTGCCCCAGGCGCTGTATGCACGCTGTCTTGCTGAGCACGGTGGTCGCAGCCGGACCTCGGAGCCCCGGGCAGGAAGGGAGGACAGGAGAGGTGATGAGGCACGTCCACCCTGGGCGGAGCTCGGCCTCCCCGGGCATGGCGCCTTCAGACCGTGGGAGCCGCTGTTGAGTGAAGAGCTCTCCCTGCTGCCCGTGTGAAATCCCCTGCCAGCTCTGGGCCGAGGGCGCTGTTGTCAGATGAGAAACCCACACGGAGGCGGGTCACCATTTCCCGGTAGGTGACCCGGAGAGGCGAACCTGGGCAGCCTGGCCACGGCCTGCAGCCTGCTCTCCTGCTTGCCCTCCCTGGCCCTGGTGATGGCCCTCAGCACATTGTAGTGACAGCGGTGTTGTGGGCTTTGTACAGGTTCTGCTAACAAGTGGCTAAGCAGTGACACGGCCTCCTCCACGGTCTCCCCAGCTCCAGACTCCCTGGGTCTCCCCCAGTCAAGGTCTGCGAAAGCTCCTCAGGGAAAGGAAGCGAGGCCCCCGGGGGCAGATGAAGGCGTGCGCGGGAGACAGCAGCCTGGGCGGCCTTTCTCAAACCGTGACCACGGCCCCTCCCCTTGCCCCGCACGCCTCAGTGGCTTCGCACGGCTCCTTGACCGAGCCGCAGGATTCCCATGTCGCTGTGAGGCCCTGGGAGCAGGGCCCTGCTTCTCCTGCAGCCTCGCCGCTGTGTGCAGGCCCCTTCCTGCCGCAGGAAAGCAGGTGTGGTGGGTCCGCGTAGGCTTCGGAGCCGCACTGCCCGCGTTCCGATCTTAGCTCGCTGCCTCTTCAATGTTCTGTTTTTAAAAATACACATTTATTTTCCCTTTATTTAAAAGGCAGAGATGGGGCAGGTGCTGTGGTACAGTGGGTTATTGCACCATCTGCGATGCCGGCGCCGGTTCAAGTCCCGACTGCTCCACTTCCGATCCAGCTCCCTGCTAACGCACCTGGGAAAGCAGTGGAGGACGGCCCACGTGCTTGGGCCCCTGCACCCACGTGGGAGACCTGGAGGAAGCTCCTGGCTCCTGGCTTCGGCCTGGCACAGCCTTGGCTGTTGGCAGCCATTTGGGGAGTGGACCAGCAGATGGGAGATCTTTCTCTTTCCCTCTCTATAACGACAAAAAGGCAGAGAGAAATCTTCCATCCACTGATTCACTCCCCAGATTCTCCCAAGAGCTAAGACTGGGCCAGGCTGAAGCCAGGAGTCTGGAACTGTATTCTGGTCACCCACGTGGGTGGCAGGGCCCACAAATTTTAGGCGCCACTTGCTGTCTGCCAGGTTGTGTATTAACAGGAAGCTGGGTTGGAAGCGGAAGAACTGGGACTTGAACCAGGCACTTGGATACGGAATGCAGGCATCCTAAGCCCTGGCTTAACCCTGCATCAAATGACCATCCATTTTTCTTTTTTAAAATATTTATTTGAAAGTCAGTTACACACATACAGTGAGAGAGAGAGATTGATTCACTCCCCAGATGGCCACAATGGCTGGAGCTGCACCGATCATCCAAAGCCAGGAGCCAGGAGCTTCTTCTGGGGCTCCCGCACGGGTGCAGGGGCCCAAGCAGTTGGGCCATCTTCTATTGCTTTCCCAGGCCACAGCAGAGAGCTGGATTAGAAGTGGGGCAGCCGGGACTTGAACCGGTGCCCATATGGGATGCCGGCACTGCAGGTGGTAGCTTTACCTGCTACACCACAGTGTCAGCCAAACCACCCACTCTTTTTTTTTTTTTTTTTTTTGGTCAGGCAGAGTGGACAGTGAGAGAGACAGAGAGAAAGGTCTTCCTTTGCCGTTGGTTCACCCTCCAATGGCCGCCGCGGCCGGTGCGCTGTGGGTGGCGCACCGCGCTGATCCGAAGGCAGGAGCCAGGTACTTCTCCTGGTCTCCCATGGGGTGCAGGGCCCAAGCACTTGGGCCATCCTCCACTCGCACTCCCTGGCCACAGCAGAGAGCTGGCCTGGAAGAGGGGCAACCAGGACAGAATCCGGCGCCCTGACCGGGACTAGAACCCGGTGTGCCGGCGCCGCAAGGCGGAGGATTAGCCTAGTGAGCCGCGGCGCCGGACCACCCACTCTTAAAAGAGTTCTATGACATTGGTCAAGTTTCTTTTTGTGCCCATTAGGGGAATGCCAAAGTTGCAGGTGGCAGCTTTTCCTGCTACTGCACAACACCAGCTCCCACCTCATGGATCTTTTTTTTTTTTTGACAGGCAGAGTTAGAGAGAAAGGTCTTCCTTCCGTTGGTTCACTCCCCAAATGGCCGCTACAGCTGGCACTGCGCCGATCCGAAGCCAGGAGCCAGGAGCTTCTCCCTGGTCTCCTACCCGGGTGCAGGGGCCCAAGCACTTGGGCCATCTTCCACTGCCTTCCCGGGCCACAGCAGAGAGCTGGACTGGAAGTGGAGCAACCGGGACTAGAACCTGGGTCCCATATGGGATGCTGGCGCTGCAGGCGGAGGATTAACCAAATGAGCCATGGCGCCGGCCCCCACCTCATGGATCTTTAAGTGGTAGAGTGTAGGACTCTTTCTTCCCCCTAATCTGTAAGGTTCCCTGGCACATGGATCTTTGGCTCTTTTTTTTTTTTATTTTTTTTTTAATTTATTTATTTATTTTTTTTATTTTTTGACAGGCAGAGTGGACAGTGAGAGAGAGAGAGACAGAGAGAAAGGTCTTCCTTTTGCCGTTGGTTCACCCTCCAATGGCCGCCGTGGCTGGCGCGCTGCGGCCGGCGCACCGCGCTGATCCGATGGCAGGAGCCAGGAGCCAGGTGCTTTTCCTGGTCTCCCATGGGGTGCAGGGCCCAAGCACCTGGGCCATCCTCCACTGCACTCCCTGGCCACAGCAGAGGGCTGGCCTGGAAGAGGGGCAACCGGGACAGAATCCGGCGCCCCGACCGGGACTAGAACCCGGTGTGCCGGCGCCGCTAGGCGGAGGATTAGCCTAGTGAGCCGCGGCGCCGGCCGATCTTTGGCTCTTGTCAGTGAGAGAGGCGCTTCTCTGGAAGGCGGGCTGCAGCCCCGAGCAGGCTGGCTGGGCCCTCCCTCCCGGTGATCCCCGTGCCAAGGGGATCGTCTCAGAGCTGAGGCTGGACACTGGAGCTGCCTCTGAGCGCCAGCCATGCGTCATCCAGATAGTCCAGAGGCAGCGCGGTGGGGCTGGGAGCAGGACACAGGCAGGAGGGAGCGCGCGACGGGATGCGACGGGATCGCGGGGCAGAGGACTGGCGTGGGACTGCTTGGTTTGTTTGTTTGCTTGAAGGCAGGGACAGAGAGAACAAGCGCACAAGAGCCGCCATCTGCTGCCTCGCTTCCCCAGTGCCTGCGGTGGCTGGGCACTGGGACCAGGAGCCCGGGCCAGGTTGCCCGTGAGGGTGGCAGGAACCCAAGTACTGCCGCCTCCCGGTGCATGAGCAGGAAGTGGAATCAGGAGTGGAGCCAGGACTCAGCCCCCGCCCTCTGACAAGGACACGGGTTATCCCAACTGGGGACTTAACCCGAACCGAATGCTTGCCTCCAGGCTCCTTCCCCAAAGATTGACTTATTTGAAAGGCGGAGTGACAAAGAGGAAGAGACAGACAGATCCTCCATTCACTCCTTCCATCTCCAACTGCCCCCAGCAGCCAAGACGGCTGGGCTGGAGCCTGGAGCAGAGGCTCACCCAGCTGTCACATGGGGGTGGCAGGCCCAAGTTCTTGGACCATGTCCACTGCCTCTCAGGCACAGTCCTGGGAAGCTGGATTGGAATTACAGGAGCTGGGACTTGAACCCGCGGTGCCGTAACGCCTGCCCCTCCCACTCTTGACCAGGCTTCCCAGTGTGCCTGGGTGTCAGCTCTCACACTGCTGCAGAGGGCCGGTGGCCCTGCTAAGAGGGACTTGGGTTTAAAGACGAAGTGGGTTAACCTTGAGACGCTGGCAGCGGTGGCCAAGGCCTCCCTCCTGCGCCTCTGCCCTGCCGCTCGCTCCCCTCTGGGGCAGGCCTTCGTCCTCAAGGGGGATCGTCTCCCCCAGGGGGCTTTCCTGCCCACCCTGTTCTCCCCACAAAAGCAGCGTAGGCGCCCCCACACGCTCACCTGGAGCGTTTCCTGCAGGGATGTTAATGTTTCCTTTGTGAGCTCAAGGAAGCCACACCACAGCCTCGCCTGTGCTGGGTGTTGGGTGGATGTGCCGAGGGCCCGGGCTGGTGGTGGCCGTGTGGCCCGGGCCAGGCGTGCTTTCCAGGGTGGGAGCGGGGGCGCTGTCCGAGGTGTGACCTGGCTCTCTTCCTCCCTCCGCAGCACTCTGCCGGGCCAGCGCCAGCGGGCAGCATGTCGTTGCATCTCGCCACGCCCCTGCCTCTCACCTGGAAGCCATGGAGGGGATAAGGTAGCCCCTCGAGGGACGGGGAAGCCCAGTTCAATGGATGCGAAGTACAAGGACGACTTATTTCGCAAGTATGTGCAGTTCCACGAGGGCAGGGCGGACGCCGCCCCCGGCCAGCAGCGGCCTGGCGGTGACGGGCACCTGCGGGCGGCAGCCTGCACCCTGCTCAGCCTGCACAAGGTGGATCCCTTCCATCGATTCCGGCTGATCCAGTTCTACGAGGCGGTGGAGAGCTCCCTGCGCTCGCTCAGCTCCAGCCTGCGGGCCCTGCACTGCGCCTTCAGCGTGCTGGAGACGGTGGCCGTCAACCTGTTCCTCTACCCGTGGAAGAAGGAGTTCAGAAGCATCAAGGTGAGGGTCTTCCTCCTTCCTGTTCATCCGGGAGGGGCCTGCCCACGATCGCCTCCTCCCCCTGCTCTCGCGCCCTCCTGGGGCCCCCGGGGACTTTAGGGTAGTCACTTCATAAGCCCAGAGGCCAGCAAGGCAGGCGGCAGTGAGGTCTTGCAGGGCCCTGTAGCCCGAGCAGGAGGCCCAGGTTTGGAGTGGGCTGGGGCAAAGGTAGCGCCAGGAGCTGGTTTACTCTGGGGAAGGCCCCGGCTGCTGCGCAGGAAACAGATCAGAGAGGGGCACAGGTCGGCCGAGGAGGCGCTGTCAGGGGGCTCTCGCCCGGGTGCGAGCGAGCTGGGGCGGCTGGAGCTGAGTGGTCACGGTGGGCGGAGCCGTGGGGAGGGGCTCCTGAAGCCTGTGCTGGGGGGCCCAGGAGAGTCAGCGCCGGCCCTCGGCCTCACGTGACCAGCCTTGTAGGCGTGCCCGGGAGGGACAGCAGGCTCTCGGGTTGGCCCAGTGAGCTGCTGTGATCCCCACCCCCCTTCTTCACGGTGGCCGCCCTGACCCCATCTCTGGATGGAGCAGAACCTTTGGCCCTCGTGGAGAAAGCAAGTGACTGTCCCCTGGGCTTAGAAAGCCGCTGGCGGGCAGGTCCCCCAGGCGCCGGGCTCCCAGTGGGCGGCAGCCCTGGGTCTGCTGCGAGGAGCCGCCGAGGCCCCCGGCCCCCCCCCCCCCCCCCCCGGGGGGGTGGCAAAAACTGGGGCGCCCTTTGCTTTGACCCGGCCTCTGCTGCGTGTCTGGAGAACCACTCGCGCACGCTTCTCCCCCAAAAAAAAAGGGGCCTTTCGTGTACTACGTCAAGTCCACGTTGCTGGAGGAGGATATCCGAGCCATCCTGAGCTACATGGGCTACGTGCCCGAGCTGGGGACCGCCTACAGGCTCAGGGAGCTCGTGGAGACCCTCCAGGTGAAGATGGTCTCCTTTGAGCTCTTTCTGGCCAAGGTCGAGTGCGAGCAGATGCTGGAAATCCACTCCCAGGTGAAGGACAAGGGCTACTCCGAGCTGGACGTGGTGAGCGAGCGCAGGAGCAGCGCCGAGGACGCGCGCGGCTGCTCGGAGGCCCTGCGGCGGCGGGCCGAGGGCAGGGAGCACCTGACGGCCTCCATGGCCCGGGTGGCGCTCCAGAAGTCGGCCAGCGAGCGCGCGGCCAAGGACTACTACAAGCCGCGGGTGACCAAGCCCTCCAGGTCGGTGGACGCCTACGACAGCTACTGGGAGAGCAGGAAGCCGCCCCTGAGGGCCTCGTTGAGCCTGCGCAAGGAGCCCGTGGCCGCAGACTCGGGCGACGACCTCAAGGACGAGATCATCCGCCCGTCCCCCTCGCTCCTGACCATGTCCAGCTCGCCCCACGGCAGCCCGGACGACCTGCCTCCCACGTCCCCCGGCAACGGCCTGGGCCTGCTGCGGGGCACCTACTTCTCTGCGCAGGAGGACGTGGACCTGTACACGGACTCGGAACCCAGGGCCGCGTACCGGAGGCAGGACGCCCTGCGGCCGGACGTGTGGCTGGTCAGGAACGACGCCCACCCCGCCTACCACAAGCGCACGCCGCCCGCCAAGGAGTCGGCTCTCTCCAAGTGCCAGAACTGTGGCCTCTCCTGCAGCTCGACCCTGTGCCAGCGCTGTGACAGCCTGCTCGCCTGTCCTTCAGCCTCCAAGCCCGGCCCCTTCCCCGGCAAGGCTCCCGCCCACGACAGCCTGGCCCACGGGGCCTCTCTGCGGGAGAAGTGCTCAGGCCAGGCCCAGGGCCTTGAGCGGCTGCCACACGCGCACGCCAAGCCCAAGCCCCCCGGCACAGCCACCTCCCGCTGTGGCTTCTGCAACCGGCCCGGCGCCACCAACACCTGCACGCAGTGCTCCAAGGTCTCCTGCGACGCCTGCCTCAGCGCCTACCACTACGACCCCTGCTGCCGGAAGGGGGAGCCGCACAGGTTCCTGCCCCACAGCCAGCTGAGCTACAGGTGCAGCCCGTTCTCCCAGCTCGTGTACAGATAGGCCCGCCTGGCGCCCCCCGCTCCAAGGGCTACCCCGCTGGCCTTGCCGGCCGCACGGTGGGGAGGACACGCGCCTGACCAGCAGCCGGGGGACCCGCGTGGGAGTACCGTCCGGCTCAGCTCCTTCCACTGCTGGCTGTGCTGTCGTCTGACAAGACGGAGGGTGGCACTTCCGTTCAGATTCATTTTTGCTGATCTCTCCGCTCCCCGTTCAGTTGTGTTTTTTTCTCCTTTAAAGAGAATTTCTATCTCTGGGACTCTCGCCTTGCCTGCCCTCCCGCCCCTCCCGCTGCAGAGCCAGCTTGACTGGGAAGGGCCCTCCGGGTCACCTCAGCGCCCCCGAGTGGTGAGCCAGAGGCCTGCTGGCTTGTGAAATGAGCCCTCCTGCCGCACTGGGCCTCCCCCCACCGGCTCAGCCCTTGGCCGCCCCTTCCCAAGCACAAGGACCCCCAGCCTCCCCCCCCCGCCCCCCAGGTGTCAAAGGTGAACCGAGTCCGTGTTAGCCGAGCGTCTTTGCCGCCCCAGCTTGGTCAGCCCGGTGTTAGCGAGCGCGGCCTTCGCACGGTGGGACACGCTCCCCTTCTGTTGTTTGCACACGCCCCTCTCACTGTACTGTAAATAGAGATTTTTGAGATTTATTTTTAAATAAATATTCAACTTGCTGTGTTTCAAAGTGGGTAAGAAATTAATTATGTAGCTATTTATAAAAATGCCCTGGGTTCCTGCGTCCTCCGTGTTGTGTCCTCCGCCCACGCCGGGGTGCGTGGAGAGGCGGCGGCGGGTTCCCAAGCTGGTGGAGCGCTCGCGTCTTCCCTCGATCTCTACACACCTACCTCCAGTGTGCACTCGGGGCCGGGGCGGCCACCTGGCCTGGTCTGCCTGCAGGCCCTCGCCCTGCGGAGTCGCCGGGCCCGCGCCGGGCGTGCACTGCAGACTTCCTCCACGGCTCCGCCACCTCCACCCAGTCCTCCGCGCACCACCAGTCTCCAGGGACTCGTCTGGGACAGCACCTGCGAGCCTTTTGCACTACAAGTGGGCGAGAGTGGGCACGCGCCCAGCAGGTGGCCCCGGGCACTCAGCTGAGCCTCCGAGCCTCCAAACCCAAGGGCCCCTCCAGCGCCTGCCAGCCGCGGGCCCCTGGCTCTCCTGGTGGGGGCCGGAGAGGAGGGGCCGGGACTCTGAACATGAACTGCTTCCCTGCGGACTAGTGACACCTGTAGCCATACGTGTCTGTGATGCAGCCAGCGCGAAGGGGTACCGGATGCGGATTTTTCCAGAAGGCGGCGTTCCGCTCCGGAGTTGCGATCCGGCTGAGTCCTGAGGCCACTGTGAACTTGCTGACGTTCTTCCAACTCAGCTGAGTGATTTTAAGCTTTTCCAAATCTTCTATGGCTCTTTTTTATAAACCTGGCCGGCGGCCGGCCTGCAGATGATAGTGTGTACATAAGCCGAATTCAGCCACCGTTGTGACTGCCGAGAGCAGCCGGCCAGCCTGCCCACTCCGAGAACGCCGGCCTCCCGGGCCGCACTTCCAGCGTTAGTCACCACGGCAACCGCGACGCCACGGAACGCCGGACACAGCGCCAGCCCCGGGCCGGCCCGGCAGAGCCCCGTGTTCCTCGGCGCCTGGGCGGTGGGCCGCGCGTCTTCCTCCGTGACAGGCGGGTCAGTGTGCGCGAATGTTTTGCCTTTGATTTCTGCCAAGAGTTGAAGTGTTGAGAGGTGATTACAGAAATAACAATAAAGCGTCTTCCATCGTCAGTGCAGTGTCGGGCTTCCTGTCTCCTGTTCCTGCTGCCTTGAAGTCAGTCGCTTGGGTTTTCTGTTCTTTTCCTCAGGTCATATTTAGTTCTTTTTTTAAGATTTATTTGCAAGGCAGAGTTACAGAGAGAGGTCCTCCATCCGCGGGTTCACTCCCCAGGTGACCACAATGCCCGGAGCTGGGCTGATCCGAAGCCGGGAGCCAGGAGCTTCTTCCAGGTCTCCCACGCGGTGCAGGGACCCAAGCACTTGGGCACCTTCTACTGCTGTCCCAGGCCACAGCAGAGAGCTGGGTCGGAAGTGCAGCAGCCGGGACAAACCAGTGCCCGTGTGGGTCACCGCAGGCGGCAGCTTTCCCCGCCCCACCGCAGCGCCGGCCCCACGTTCAGTTCTAACGCTGGGACCCATCGGCAGCTCTGAGGCGCGCGCGCGGGTGCTTGGCCGGGAGCCCGACGCTCCACGCTCCACACTGGACGTGCTGCGTTCCCCGAGTGCTGTCAGGATCCCCGTCTCCCAGATGGCCAGACAGGCACACGGAGCTCAGCGGTGGTGCCCGAGGGTGGCGTGGTCGAGTCCAGGGGGAGTGACGTGGGGCGGGGAGGACGAGGCACAGAAGCACGTTTCGAGTTGTTTCTGCGGTGTTGTCTTGAGCACAGACGGGTCAGGCTCAGCCCGCGGGGGCTGCGGCGGTTCAGGCCATTCCAGTCTTCGCTTACAGCACTGATAGTCTTGAGATCTGTGAACGCGAAAGGTCCGGCAGGGAGGGAGGGAGGGAGAGAGGGCAAGGTCAGTCGTCCGTCTGCTGTCCACTCTCCAAACTGCAGCGTCGGTCGGGGCTCGGCCAGACGGAAGCCAGGAACCTGGACCTCGAGCCGTCCCCGACCTGGGCGGCAGACGCCGGAGGTGGTGTGCTGTCGCAGTCCCCCTCCCACAGTGTATCCATCCTCTGGTGCGCGCACACGTTCTCCTGCCTGCAGTGTGGTACTTGCCGGCGTCCCCTGGGGCAGGGTGGGCGGAGCGCGCCCCCCCCGATGTCCAGAGCACCGACGCCGCTGGGCTTCCCGGGGGCCAGGCGGGTCCCTCAGCAGCGAGAGTCCGTCTGACCAGCCGCACTGACAGTGCGGATCTCTCTCGGCACAGATTTGACTTTCCTCTCATTCCACGGCAGGAGATACTGCTGTGATTTTTCCAAGATTTCAAAATGTAAAAAGAACCCTCATTGTCCCGAGGGGCACCACAGAGGCAGGAGCAGGCAGGTGTAGGACTGGCACGGGCCTGGCAGAGGAGGGACACGGGGCAGGGCTGCCACGGCCCGCCGCCAGTGCCGTTCCACGGTGCTCCGAGCGCCCTCCGCGGGCACCAGGCTGCTCCGGGCACGCATCGCTCTAGTCTTGGTGCTGTGGCTCCGTGGGGGCCGTGGCTCCGTGGGTGTTGTGGTGCCGTGGCTCCGTGGGGGCAGTGGCACTGCAGCCGTTTGCGACGCTGGCACCCGCACGGCAGTCCTGTTCTGAGCCCCAGCTGCCCTGCCCCGTCCAGGTCCCCGCTGACGTGCCTGGGAAGGTGGCGGAAGGTGGCTGGCCCCTGCTCCCTAAGTGGGAGACCTGCGTGGAGTTGTGGGCTCCTGGCTTCGGTCCCGTGTAGCCCTGGCTGTTGCAGATGTTTGGGGATTAAACCAGTGGATGGAAGATCTCTCTCTCTCTATTGCTCTGCCTTTCAAACAAGTACATCATTTTTAAAAGGAAAAGAAAATCCATGCAAACAGCAAGTGTTTTTTTTGTTTGTTTTTATGCCTGCGGGATGCTGGCGTTGGGCCAGGAGCTTCACCCGTGTGGGTGGTCGGCTCCCACTGCCCTCCCAGGCACATCAGGAGGGAGCTGGGTCGGAAGGGGAGCAGCCGGGACTCACAGGTGCCCTGATGGACGCCGGCGTCGCGGGCAGCGGCTGTACCTGCTGCGTGCGCCACAGCGCCGGGCCCAGCGGCGAGGCTGTAAAAGTCACCTAGAACCCTGCCCCTCGGAGCCGAAGCCAAAACTTGGCATCTGGCCTTGCAGATCTTGTCCTACATATACACATACCGCTGATTTCATTTTTTTTTTTAATATTTATTTGAAAGAGGAGCGACAGAACTCTTCCACCGCTGCTTCACTCCCCAAATGCCACAATGGCTGGGGCTCGGTCAGGTCGAGGCCAGGAGCCGGGGGCTTCATCGGGGTCTCCCACACAGGTGCAGGGGCCCAAGCACCGGGGCCGTCCTCCGCTGCCTTCCCACGCGCACTGGTAGGGAGCGGAGTCGGAAGTGGAGCAGCCGGGACTTGAACCGGCGCCCGCAGGGATGCCGGCACTGCAGGTGGGGGCTTAGCCTGCTGCCCACAGTGCCAGCCCCACGCACTCACGCTGTGGAGGCGGGTGCTGCGAGGCTGTCTCCCACCGTGTGGAGCTGTAGTTGCGGCATAAGACCCAGCCCGCAGAGCAGAGCCAGGACGTGTCCTGTCTCACACGCCGAGGGCCCCGGAAGGCCAGTGCCTGTGTCGCGGGTTCACTGGCTCGGCCGCGTCAGTACAAGCCCCAGGCCTTGTCTTGCTGTCCTGCTGCCCTCTGCACGCTGGCCGCCACTTCCTCCTGGGCTCAGAGTGGCTGCAGGGGTCCAGGCATTACTTCTCAGGTAAGGGAGCTCAGGCCTGAGCGGCCAGAGGGTGCTTTCCTCCCTGACAGCAGCTCTGGAAATCTGCAAGGAGGGCCCGGCCTCACGCCGGCGCTGGACTGGGAACCTGCCGACCCGCGAGGCGGACGGGCCGCAGGGCCGCAGGGCCGCCGCGCTGGAGATGAGTGGCTGGGTTGCCACTGGGGGCGGGGGTGTGTGTGTTTTATAAAGCAGGCGCTAACATGTCTGCTTGTCATTCCGAGAGGGTAAAGTGTTGATGTCTCTAAGCAGACGCTGTCCAAAGCATCCTGGTATCCATGTCCTTAAGTCTTCCGGCGGCCTTCACGCCCGCCGCCCCCATGGCGAGAGGGGCGCCTGCATCGGCACTCATGGCGCCAAGATGGCTGCCCGGGAGCCGAGTTCCCGCCTCCGTCTCCACCTCCACGTGCGGTCACCGCGGGCCGGGCGGTTGTGGCTGTGGTGCGAACCCGCGGGCCTCCGCTGGCAGATGGCAGCGTCCGTCTGTCTGCCACGAAACCAACCACACTTTGGGGCCCAGGAGCAGCGACCTGTCTCCCTCCGCGTCGGGGTGTCAGCCGGCAGCTGCCTGGCTGTCCTAGGGCCGGGCCCCAACCCCAGTGCCTCCGGGTTTGCCAGGCGCCCCCCAGGCACCGGCCGTGACGCCTGCCCTCTGCACCAGGCGAGGTCGAGCTGCCCCCCCACCCCCTGCAGACGGGGTGGGGATCCAGGCCCTCGACTTGGTAGCGGCCGTTGCCTCCTTCCCCAGCTCCCTGGCCTCTGAGGACACTTCTCCCCACGCTCGCGCCCTCCTCCCTGGAGCTTCTCCTAGGAGCGAGATGCGAGTGGCAAACGCCCAGTTCCCTGCCGGGAATCCGGTGCCCCCGCCCTCGGGCAACTGGGGCGATCCCGCTGTCCGTGGCTGCCGTCCCTGTCACCCGGGGGCCCTCGGCACTGCGGCCACGCGCAGTCACTGCTCGCCAGCCCCCGGCGGTCTTATCATGGGAGAGAAATCCACCCCCAGACGCAGGCTCTGTTCCGAGTGGGCGTCCCCAGCTGGTTCCACGCCTGTGGCCACGGGCACTGGGCCAGCCCAGGCCAGGTGTCGTCATCACCCCCTCCTCTGCCGGCGACAGGGGCGGGAGGGAGTCCCAGGGCTGGAAGGAGGAGGGCAGGTCCCCTGCCTGGTTGGCCTGCGCCGCACGCACTTGGTGCTGTCAGTGCGGGAGGCCCTGGCGCCTGCGCACACACGCCCCCCACCCCCCGCTCCTGCAGGTGGGGGTGAACAGGACCAGCTCCCTGTGTCACCATGGCCACAGCCCTGCAGGGCTCAGCTGGAACAGAACCAGTGGGAGACAGGCTCCTAGCACCCATTGAGAAAGGCCATGGCCCTGCTGGGGCTCAGCCCAGCCCCCCCCCTCGGCCTCACCTGCTCCTCACTGAGAACCAAAGGCAGGAACCAGACCCAGAGCCCACGCCCCTGACCACTGTGCTTCCCAGCTACTGGACCTGGGCTGGGGCGGGGCCTGGGGGGCACAGCCCACACCACCGCAAAGCCCTGTGAACAGAACTCAGGAGCCGGCTCCCGTCCAGCGGCTTCCACCTTTATTTCTAAACGAGGATCCAGTGGCGTGACTGACGAGGTAGCGTCCACCTCTGGGCCCTGCCCAACCCAGAGCCCATCAGGAAGAGCAGCAAGTACAGCTCGGGCTCATGCGGCCCCACAAGCGCCCCACAAGCTCGCTGGGGCCTTAACAGCAAGCCCACCCCCCCTTAACAGTCCTTAAGCCAAAAGCCAGCCCTTAAAAACGCCGGTTTTACACAGAAAACGAATGCACGATTCCGATCAACAAATCAAGCTTCGCAGGAGGCAGGAGGCGCACGCGGAGCGGCCGCGGGCCACCCCGCCCCGCCCAGCTGGCACGTGGCTCCTCCTGGCCTGGGGCTTGCAGATCCCGCCCTCGCACCCCTCCGCCCTGAGAAAGCTCGCGCAGAGCCCGGAGAAGCCCCGCTCCCGGGGACGCGCCCCCCCCCCCCCCCAGCAAGTTCTGAAACACCTGGCTGCTCTGGGGCTGCTTCCCACTTGGTCCCCAGCCCCTCATCCGGGAGACACAGGGCACTGGGGGGCTGCTCTTAAAGCCCTCCTGGGCGGCACAGGACTGCCGGGAGCCCCCCCACCCCCACTGCAGCTGCCGCAGCTCGTCTCAGCCAGAGCCAGAGCCGCGGCAGCCCCGGGCGCCCACCACAGGTGCTCCCAGAGGGGCCGCCCTGGCCCACCTAGCAGCAGCGCCTGCACGCACACCTGTGGGCGACACCAGCCCAGGCTCTCCCCTGCTTGAGGTCAGAGCACCAGAGACAGGGCTGAGCCACTGAGCCCGGCCCCTCCCTGCCTGTACCCCACCCCCCAGGCTGCTCCGGCCACGGAGGGCACGCAAATGAGTCTAGAGGGGTCTTAGTCGCAGGCCTGGGTGGCACATCCCGGTGCATGGCTGAAGGGCCGGCACCCCCAAGGCACTGCTGCCACAGCCTGCACCTGGCTCGAAGCCCCCGGCTGTGCTGCGTGCTCCTGGCCGTGGCCTAGACCTAAGGGGGGGGCCTCACCGGCCGTCTTCCCACCTCCTCGCACTCACTCTCCCCCACGTGGGAGGGCGGGGTGTGCTCAAAAGTGGACAGCAGCGAGCTGGGCTTCCCAGGCAGCCATCTTAAATCAACTCCACCAGGAGCGGCTGTTGGGGACATTCCACCAGAAGGGCACCTCCTCGGCCTTTTGCTGGTTAAAGGCCAGCGAGATGGCTGAGGGCCGACTCCCAGGGCTAAGCCCACACTCGGCCAGCAGGGGGCGGAGCCGGCTCACGGGAGATCCCGGCGGCCTTGGCACCTCCCAGGCAGGGCGCCCGAGCCCTGAGCAGTGACGAGGGGCCGTCTGAACTGAGAAGGTCACTTTTCATCGCTCAGTCTGTGGAGTGAAGGCTTGAAAGAGGAGAGAAATCCTGGCAAGCCGTGGGGTTTGCACAGCAGCTCCCTTCCGCCGTCGGGCTCTGGCTCAGGAGCTCCGAGCTGGGCTGAGCACGCCCTGCGGTCCCCGCGCCCTGAGGCCGCAGAGGCCAGCATCCTGCAGGCAAAGGCTTGCGGGTGCGGAGAGCAGACGGGTCACTGTTGAGCGCTGCCAAGTGCAAGTTCACTTCGCATGCGTGGAAGCGGCAAGGCAGGCTGAGGGCTGGGGCCTGAAGCCCCGAGTCCTGAGGTGACTCCTCCCTACCACCCAGAGCCACGCCCCTGAGGGGGGGGCGGAGATGCCACCACACCTGCTCCACCCGGGGACCCTAGGGAGAACCAAGGATGTGCACCTGATGGAGGAGACCACCCGCAGGAGCCAGGGCCACACGTGGAGGCTGCCAGGGCCCACGGAGGGCAAAGCGGGGCGGCGTGGGGAAGGGCGGAGCAGCAGGGGAGCAGGCGGCCCCCGCATGTCACCAGGACACGGCTGGCAGCTCCCGGCCCGCGATGGCCATGGAGGCTACCGGGGCGCGTGTGCTACGCTGCAGACCCCAGGATTCCTGCGTGGGGACAAACAGGACCAGGATGGCGGGGGCCCGGCGGTGAGTGGCACCAGCGGGCGGAAGGCACCCAGGCCCTCGCTGCTTTGTTCAGCACAGCCCTGGCTGCAGGCTCAGCCTGTAACCTCGCTTCTCCCTCGAGGGCACGGTGGCCCCGCGGAAAGGCCGCCCCCACCCTGCTTCCACGGGCGGGCGGGCACCCGAGGAGCACTCACTCCCTGTGCAGGGCAGGAGCGGCCGCCCAGGGAGCACACGAGGCGGCCCGGGGTTCCGGGCCCAGCCAGAGGCCCCGGCTCCTTGAAGACGCAAGGCAAACGGCAGCTGACCCTGGCCCCGGGGCGACGCCCATTCCAGAGGGGCAGGGCCTGCGGCTTGGGGCGGGGCCGAGGTGGGGGCCGGGGAGGGGCGCGGACCCAAACTCGCACTCCCTCGCTGCTGAGCGGTCCCGGCCGGCGCTCAGTGGGCCGCTTCCTCCCGCGGGCAGGTGCCTGCTCCCCTGGCTGCTGTGGCGATGCACGCGTGGCCACTTGGCCTGGCTCAGTGGGGAGAGGACACACGTTTCCCAAGAGGCCAGTTGGCTCCAAAGGCCTGGAAAGTTCCAAGTTCAACTTCTCCCGCTGCCTTCTATCCCAGTGAGGCTGCCGATGCATGCGCCTCCGAGGGCCGTGCCGGGCGTCTGCGGGCAGCGACTGCCCGGGCTGGCCTGGCCCTGCCGCAGCCTGGGCGCTGTCACAGCAGCTCCTGCTCGTCGTCCTCGGAGCCCGAGGGGCCCTGGCGCACCTCCTCGTACCACTTGTTGGTCAGGGTCTTCATCTGGATGCGCCCGTGGTGCAGGTCCTGGGGCGGGAGACACGGCCAGGCCTTCCTTAGTGGGCGTGGTCACGGCAGACGGAGCTGCACCTCGGGGTGGGGGGAGGGGCGGGGGTGGCCACAGGTGCTCCAGACCGAAAGCCACCAAGTGCAGGCGGCACTGAGGGGGCTTGAAGGTAAAACCGTGGCCTCCGCTCCCAGCTCTGCCTGGCACTGCTGCCTGTGTGGCCTCGGCCTCCCCCCGGAGGTGCCGACGCTGGAGAGCAGAGGAGACCCGCCCACGGACGTCACGGAAGGCCTCCGTGTGCTGCCTGGCGCCACGGCTGTGACCACCCGGGGACCCGGCCTGCAGCCACAGCCGGGCAGCGGTGCACTTGGGCAAGCTGCCGGCTCAGACTCTGCAACCAACTGGCGTCCTGAGCTGATCACCTGGGGACACCAAAGTGCGGGAGCGCATCTGGCATCAACCAGCTGCACAGGCGGCACTGGAGGTCAAACAGCAGGCGCTGAGCTCCATGCCCCGCCCCCCGCCCCGCCCGCAGCCTGGGGGCCCATGTGGGCCGCCTCCCACCCCTGCAGGTCCTGGGGGAAGGAGGCAAGGGCCCCGCTGACCTCCTGCGTCAGCCTGCGGGTGAAGAAGGGGTTCAGGTACTTGGCGTCCAGCCACATGAAGCCCTTGAGGTCCTGCCGCCTCACGTAGTGGGCTTCGTACTCCTCCTCGGTGAGTTCCGACAAGTGCTCCGACTCGATGGTGTTGCCCTGGCACGGGGGAGGCAGCCGGGATGCTGTCAGCTGGCACCGAAGCGCCCGCACCACCCAGGCCTAGCAGCAGCAGCGTTCCCACCCCTAACTGCACAGTGCAGGCGACCAAGGCCCCAAGGGGCTCCCGGGAGCCCACAGGGAGGCAGGAAGGTCCCCAGAGCAAGTGGGTGCCTGGGGCGCCGCCTCGTGACACTAAGTCAGGCCTGGGGGCACTGGGGCTGATCCAAGCTCTTCCTGGGACCCTGGTGTGCAGCCAGGACAGGGACCGCCGTTCTAGGCACTTTCCCCACCACAGATCCACAAGGGCGCCGCCTCGTGTCGCTCTGTGTGGCGGCTCCAGTCGCCGCGGTCCCACTGTGCGCAGGGGAGGGCGGGGACAACCGCCAGGGCCCGCTGCAGTTTCTGGCCCAGTTGGCCTAGGGTGACGCCCAAGAATGTGCAGAGCTGGCAAGTCCCGGGGACACTGCTGCCCCCACCCCCCGGTCCTCCTCCGAGAGCCCTGCAGAGGGGCTGGGGCGGAGAGGGCGCACCGAGTCCATGCGACCTCAGCGGTCTGAGAGAGTCTTCCATCTGCTGGTTCACTCCCCAAATGGCCACAATGGCTGGAGCTACGCCGATCCGAAGCCAGGAGCCAGGAGCTTCTTCCAGGTCTCCCGCATGGTCGCAGGGGCCTAAAGACTTGGGCCATCCTTCACTGCTTTCCCAGGCCACAGCAGAGAGCTGGACGGGAAGTGGAGCAGCCAGGACTCGAACCTGCGCTCATATGGGATGCCGGCACCTCAGGCAATGGCTTTACCTGCCACGCCACAGCACTGGCCCCTGCTCCACGTCTGATCCGGCTCCCCGCTGACACGCCTGGGGCAGCAGTGAAGACGGCCGATGTGGTCGGCGGACCTGGGTGGAGTTCCTTGGGCCTCCTGGCCTTTCAGGCCTGGGCCCCACCCTTCCTGGCCTGACTACGAGGACAGAGGACCTCTCTCCCTCTCCCCTGTTCCTCTGTCCCTCTCTCTCTGTCCCTCTCCCTCTCTCTCTCCCTCTCTCTCTCTCTCTCCCTCTCCTCTGTTCCTCTGTCCCTCTCTCTCTCTGTCCCTCCCTCTCTCTCTGTCCCTCTCCCTCTCTCTCCCTCCCTCTCCTCCTCTCTCCTTCCCTCTCTCCCTCTCTTCTGTTCCTCTGTCCCTCTCTCTGTCCCTTTCTCCCTCTCTCTCTCCCTCCCTCTCTCCCTCCCTCTCCTCTGTTCCTCTGTCCCTCTCTCTCTCTGTCCCTCCCTCTCTCTCTGTCCCTCTCCCTCTCTCTCCCTCCCTCTCCTCCTCTCTCCCTCCCTCTCTCCCTCTCTTCTGTTCCTCTGTCCCTCTCTCTGTCCCTTTCTCCCTCTCTCTCTCCCTCTCTTCTGTTCCTCTGTCCCTCTCTCTCTCTGTCCCTCTCTCCCTCTCTCTCTGTCCCTCTCCCTCCCTCTCTCCCTCCCTCTCCTCCTCTCTCCCTCCCTCTCTCCCGCCCCGCCCCCCTCACTCCGCCCCCCCCCCCCAAGGCCGGCACTCACCATCTTCTCCGTCTTGCTGAGGTTCACGTCCTTCTTGCTGCGGCGGCGCGCCCGGGCGTCCTCGATGTCCACGAGGCGGATGAGGGGCATGGTGCTGCCGCCCAGCAGCAGGATGGTGAAGAGCACGATGATGATGGTGGTGGTGCCCACGAGCTGCCGCTTCTCCATGGGCTCCAGGTCCAGGTGCAGGCTCAGGGCGTAGGGGATGGCCCCCCGCAGGCCTGGGCAGGGACAGGGACGGACAGGAGAAGGCAGAGGCCAGGTCGCCTGGGGAGCTCGGCCTGGCCCACACGTTCTCTGGCAGACCACTGAGCGCGCTCACTCCAGGGAGCCCCGGGGAGTGAGGGCGGCAGGGTGCAGAGGAGGGGGCCCAGGCCCCTGGTCTCTCCCCTCCCCCTTTGCAGGCTGGCTGGGCAAGTCGGGTCGGGTAGCCTGGGCAGACAATACTGCCCAGTGCCCGTGGGGGGGGGGGGTCTGTGGGCCACTGGCCGCCCCAGGCAACCCCGCAGGTGCTGCGACTCCGCACGGCAGACAGCGACTCTGCATGAAGACAGCACAGAACCTAGGACCAAGCCCAAGAGTACAGGGCGTAGCTAGGGCTGCCGGAGCTCTGGCTGCGGGGACGCAGGCCACATGGGGAGATGGCAAATCCCCAGTCAGAAGTGCCCCAGCTGGGGCCAGCGCTGTGGCACAGCGGGTTAACGCCCTGGCCTGCAGTGCCGGCATCCCATATGGGCATCAGTTCAAGTCCCAGCTGCTCCACTTCCGATCCAGCTCTCTGCTACGGCCTGGGAAAGCAGTGGCAGATGGCCCAAGTGCTTAGGCCCCTGCACCCATGTGGGAGACCCGGAAGAGGCTCCTGGCTCCTGGCTTCGGACTGGCCTGCCTCTGCCACTGTGGCCATTTGGGGAGTGAACTAGCAGCTGGAGGATCTCTTTCTGTCTCTCCCTCTCTCTGTCTGTGGCTCTGCCTTGCAAATAAATAAATAAAATCTTAAAAAAAAGAGGGACATCTGAGATAGTGAAAGGCGCTGCTGGCGAGAGGACAGGAGCGGCCCCGCCCGGCCCCGCGGGCACGCTGTGCACAGGGAGGCTTGCAGAGCTGGCGGGCAGGGCGGGCAGGGCGGGCAGGGCGGGCGCCGCAGCACAGCAGGCTAAGCCGCTGCTTGGGAAGCACGCATTCCGCATGTGAGCACCGATTTGAGCCCCGGCTGCTCCACTTCCCACCCAGCTCCCTGCTGACGCGCCTGGGAAAGCGGCCGAGGACGGCCCGGTGCGTGGACCCTTGCACCACGTGGGGGGCCTGGATGGAGTTCCTGGCTCTTGGCTTTGGCCTGGCCCAGCCCTGGCCATTGGGGACGTTTGGGGAGTGAATCAGTGGACAGAAGATCTGTCTCTCTGCCTTTCAAAATAAATGAATAAATAAATAAACAAACAAACAAACCAAAACACAACACCTCTGTGTTGCTCAAAAATAAACGTAAAGATGCAGAAGGATTTATGAAATCATCCCCATCGTGGGAAAAGCAGAGAAACAGGATAAAACAGCAGCTAAAGTAATGCGAGTCAAACCACCAGAGCCTCACGCCAGAAGGGAACCGAGGACTCAGACTGGCATGTGGACAAAAACTGTCCCAACCTGCACCTGTCTGACTTGGCGCCCACGACTCCAGCCAGAAAACCCACGGCTCCCCCAGTCTGCTCGCACCGTCCTCCAGGAAACGGAGGCCGGGGAGGCAAACCCTGGCTCCGCCTGCGGGATCACACGATCCCCAACGAGGCCTCTGCTCTCTCTTTGAAGCCAGGCTCCCTCATCTGTAGAGTGACCATGGAGGGGCACCGCTGAGTGGGCGCGCCCATGGTTCCGGGCCCTCTGTGCACGGGGTCCTTCCTCCAGGTCTCGGCCCCCCCGGGGCGGTCAGGAGGGGCTTACCACTGAGCCACATGATGAACATCATCTTCGGGGTGATCTTGTGATCGCGGAAGAAATTCAGGAGGTAGGAGAGGGGGAAGATGTTCACGGCTCTGCCGAACAGCACAAGCACCTGTTCACGGCAACAGAGTGAGTCTCAGGTGAAACCGCCTGGCTCTGCGGGCGGACGCCTGTCAGCTAATGCCGAGCGCGCCACGCGCCCGCCGCCAGGGCAGGGCGGCCCGCAGCCGGGGGGTGTGCTGCTGGCGACGCCTACTCCCAAGGTGCACCTTGCATTTCAGTGAGGGAAAGAGAAGGCTAACAAGGTGTCCGTGAGGGCTCCAGTGAAGACAGCAGAACAAAGCGAGGGCTGAGAGGCCGTGCAGAAGTGTCCAGAGGTTAATTTAAGGCACCCTGATTCCAGAGGTGCCCCGGGGGACAGCCCTGGGCTGACCCCCCCACAGGCTAGCTGTGCAGGGCCAGGCAAGGTGCTTCCAGCGCCCCCGTGGCCCACAGGAGGAGAGGCTGCTACGGGCCCTCCCAGGCATGGAAGGGAACACGTGGGAGGTTCTACAGGAGGCCGGACACGGGGCCTAGCTGGTGGCTGCTACAGCTTTTGGCTCCCACCACCTGCAAAGGTGTGGCAGTCGTAACTGGGGCAGGATGTAGCTGAAGTCACGTCCCGGTGGATTCTCAGGCCCATTTATCAATTTGCTTTCATCATCTTCCTCTTGGTTCTCACCAGGACTTGAAAAGGATGCCATTCACCTGTGTGTTCTTTAGCTTCAAGTTAATTCTTTGGGGCCGGCGCCGTGGTGTAGTGGGTAAAGCCGCCGGTCTGAGTCCCGGCTGCTCCACTCCTGATCCAGCTCCCTCTACTGCACCTGGGAAAGCAGCAGAGGCTGGCCCGAGTGCTTGGGTTCCTGCTCGCATGTGGGAGACCCAGAAGAAGCTCCTGGCTCCTGACTTTGGCCTGGCCTGGCCCAGCCATTGCAGCTATCTGAGAAGCGAGCCAGCAGATGGAAAATCTCTCTCTCTCTCTCTCTCTCTGTGTAACTCTGCCTTTCAAATAAATAAATAAATCTTTGAAAAACAAAAGGTTAATTCTTTAGTGAGTGAGACTGGAGCATGCCTTGGGCAGCGTGCTGGGCAGAGTCGAATCGGCAGGGACTGCCGCCCAGTGCGACATTTCCAGGCCACGCAGCGGGCGCTGGCTTTCCACCTGTGCTGTGCTGCTAACTTTAACCCTTATGACGCCCTTACACTGTGTAAGGTCCGTGTTATGGCCTCCATTTTACAGACAAGGAAGCTGGGGCATAGACAGTGTAAGGAAAAGGTCCCAGCGGTCAGGAAGGCAGGGGCAGATCCAACCAAGTCTTTCAGCCTGGGTCAGAATCAAGGCCCCAGCTGTTGAGCGCGGGGCAGAACCTGGAGGGTGGGACCGGGACGTGTGACGAGCATGGGTGCCCCCACGCAGGGCCAGCCTGGGCCCAGGAGCTCAGGGAAACTGAGTTTCCCCCCAGGGCGGCCTCTCCCCTTCCTCCCCTTCCTGTTCCGGCGCTGAAATCCCATCTCCCGTTGCCAGACTTGCGTTTCAGGTTTGACCGCAGGTGGCCCCTTTCGCCCAGTGAGCACACTAAGGACCACTGTGCTTCTGTGAAAGACACCCCCGACCCTGAAGTCCTGGACCCCGAGCCTGGACAGGTAACAGAGACAGGCAACGCGGCGGCCCAGATCGCAGCGGGAGCGACTTCCCCCGGCCCCTCCTCTGGTCTCAGTGTCCCCAGATGCAAACAGCTGGGCACACAGGTGACAGCAGCACACAGAACCCCTGCAGCTATGCTTGCTAAGGGCAGCTGGCAATAAAAGCTAACTGACGACAAGTCACAAGTCAGGACGCTAGGGAGCAGCCATGGGCCTCCACGTGCCTTCAGGGAACAGAGGGTACAAAAGGACAACACGGAGATCCACTTAGGGACAAGGGCGGGCATTCAGCGGGAGCAGACCGTCAGGAAGGGGGGCTGGGAGCCCTGGCGGAACCGAGCTTCCGTGGGAAGCCTGGGCAGAGTGGCGCCTTCCGTGGGACGCGCACTATCCCCACTGCACTCCCCCAAAGCGGGGACTCTGTGGCAGTGACTCCATTACAGGCCTCCCTTTGGTCAAGGGGCGTGAGGCCAATCACACCGCCCCGTCACAGCTTCCTCTGGGCTGACCCTGCGGCATGGACGTAATCTGTTTTTTAAAGATGTTATTTATTTGAGAGGTAGAGTTACAGACAGAGAGAAACACAGAGAGAGGTCTTCCATCTGCTGGTTCACTCCCCAAAAGGCTGCAATGGCTGGAGCTGGGCTGATCCAAAGCCAGGAACTAGGAGTTTCTTCCGGGTCTCTCACGTGGGTGCAGGGGCCCAAGTGCTTGGGCCATCCTCCACTGCTTTCCCAGGCCATAGCAGAGAACTGGACCGGAAGTGGAGCAGCTGGGACTCACTGGCACTGCAGGCGGCGGCTTTACCCACTATGCCACAGCACCCCTCCCCCCGCCCCGGACTTAATCCTAAACCCGGCGTCCGGGGTCAGGCTTTGCAACAGACAGCTCGGAGGAGCCGCGCTAGGATGGCCAGCACCTTCACGCTGGATCACCCGGGAAGGATGGAGAAGAGAAAGGAACGGTGCCCAGCTGCACGGCCACTGAGCACGTGGCTCCCTGCCTGGCATGGCTCCGCTCTTCTACACGGAGTATTTCTGCGTGGTTGTGACCACTCAGAGTCAGTTCTGAAATCTGCCTTTACACGTGAACTTGTACTTCTTAGAAAGACCCTCACACTAGGGATGTTGAAAATTACCTTTCCCCCCTTATATGTCTGTGACTTTTTTTTTAAGCAAAAGAAACGTTACACAGAAGAGTGTCTATGTAGCTGTTGACTCTGGACAGTTGACAGTTACATAAGGAATCTGGAACGCATGGTGACTGACCTACAAATCAGTAGTTAAATAAAAAACAAGCAAAATACTCACGATGCACCAGATGACAAAGGAAATTTCAAACTTGTGAGGGAAACTAAAGATGGACAGGCCGAGGAACGCAAACACGCACGTCTCTGAAACAGACCAAAGGTGGATTACCCAGCCGCCCGCGCCCTTCCACGTGGCACCGAGCCGCTCCGCGAGCGAACACCCAGCAGTCAGGGTCTCGTTTTCCGGGAAGCCCTGCAGCTGCCATCTCGGTCAGGCTCGTACTCCCAGTCCACCTCCCTGCTGGTGAGATCCTCCCAGTGCAATGCACCAGCTGGCAAATCCCTCGGCAAACGCGCACGCTCCCGCCGGGGAAGACGATAAACACGGGAATCTGCCCATTTGCTGATCACTGTGATTAGCCAGGATTCCCGCAGACGGCGCCGCCGCGGGAGGAGTGGGAACGCGCCCTTGTCACTCTCCTGCCAAGGACGGCCGTCCTGGACGCTGCCGCCAAGTTTAGAGCGGGCTCCAAACCAGGCAGAGACGTTTCCGTCTCCTGCCTCCACCGCGCGAGCCAGAAGAGCTGAGCAGTGGCCTGTGTGGTCTGAGAACACCTCACGCGTTCCTCGGCTCCGCTTCAACCACGACGTGCCCAGCCCGGCCCAGCAAGTCTGGAGACAAAGGCTGTGTCCGAGCGGCCCAGCCGCGCCAACGGCAGAGCTTCGCCTTCCATCGGGGGTCTCCGCACACAGATCCGCCAGCTTCCTCAGTGGAATTTTTTCCTATCTGGTAAATATTTTTGTGATCTTTCCGAATTGGCACATTGGGAACACACTCCATTCTTTATGCTTCTCCCGGCAGCATGAATCCTAGGACTTCGGACACGGCGTAACCAACCCTCTGGGGCTGGGTGGTTAGGTGGCCCGTATTCTTGCTACTACGAGCTCTAGCTAACATCCCCGGATGTTCCGGGTGACCTGCTGAGTAAAGGGTGCACACGCAAACGGCATGGTGCTGGCACACGCCCGTCACCAAGGCGTGACTCCTACACCCCCGTGCCAGAGTGGCTATCACCAAACCGCAACTCCGCCAATAAGATGGTTACAGAACAGCACTGGGTGCCATTTGCGGGCCGTTAGCTACGGTGAGGTCAGGGTCCAAATCTGGAGTCCCGTTTTGAGAGAGGAGGTGTGGAAAAATGACTGGCACGGAAACAAAGCCCTGGCTTCCAGACCTGCTTCTCGGCCACGAGACCGGGCAGGTCACCTGTGCTCTCTTCACTTAAGGTTCCGCATGGCCAGGCCCTGCCTGCCTGCGAGCCTGGACCAGTGTGCGACAGGACTTCAAAGTGAGGCAAGCCGCTCGGAACGCAGGGCAGATGCTGTGGTGACGGCCAGGGCACAGCCACATGGGGCCCGCATGAAGGGACAGTGTCAGTGGCTCCTTCACCCCCACGCAGAAACTGGGGGGAGGGGCGGGGGGAGGTCCGAGTGTGGAGGAAGTAAGAGCTCAAAGAGAAGTGGCTTAAAAGCAAAATGTGCCATGGTCTACGCCAGCCCAGTAAGTGATGCCTCCAACACAGACTCCCCCAAGGTCAAGTTTGCAAGGATGCTCTGTGAACCGGGAGCTCTGAGGCCAAGTCTGGGGAATGCCGGAACTTCACCCCCCTGGAAGTCCCACTGCCCGGTCACTGCAACATCTGCAGTTGATGACTTTGTTAACTCGATTTAACCCAGGATTTTCAACTCCTTTTTTTTTTTTTTAACTCTGGAGCCTTTTACATGCAACCTCACCAGTGTCCTTTCCAAGGAATATGTTTTTGGAAATGTTTCCTGCATACGTGACAAATGCACATCTAAGACGTTCGCGGTCAGTTGCGCTCCTCATTTTGGGTCTTAAAATCCCAAGTGTCGAATGTCCCACTTCCGGGTGTTAGGCTTGCTTTACAGAACTGCAAAGCCAGGGAACAGAGCAGCGTTTGGCCCCGAGGGACTCTGCTGCCAGGGAGAATCTTGGCAGCGCTGAGGACGGGGCGCGGGCAGGCGACTGCCCTGGGGAGGCCAGGCCAGTGCCGAGGACGGGGCGCGGGCAGGCGACTGTCCTGGGGAGGCCATGGCCAGCACCGAGGACGGGGCACGGGCAGGCGACTGCCCTGGGGAGGCCACGGCCAGCACCAAGGATGGGGCGCGGGCAGGCGACTGCCCTGGGGAGGCCACGGCCAGCGCCGAGGGGCGACTCACCGCACAGGAAGGCCACAGTCCGCAGTGTTTGCTGCATGAGGATCTGGGTGACCGGGGAGAGGTTGTGGTGCGTGTAGTGCGACATCACGATGCCGGAGAACAGGATGGCCATGATGCCTGCAGGGGACGGGCAGAGCGCAGACGTGAGCAGACCAAGGAGCACCTGCCGCCCGACCCCAGGTCACACGGCCCCGCAGCCCGAGGGGCTCAGGAAAACGCCCAGGGCCCCCGCTCTGCTGGCTTGGCTGGCGGGCGGTCCAAGTTACGCCCCTCCCCCAGCCTGTTTTCTCATCTGTACGGTGGAACCAATAGGACCCGCTGGTGCTCCCGTGGGGAGAGAAAGCAGAGAGAAGCTGTGTCCGCGCCCTTCACGGCACCAGGGCTGAACAGGTGTGTGCGGGTGCTGGCGCTGGCCCCGGCAGACGCGGGGACAGAGAAACCACTCGGGGGCTGACATGGAGCATTAAGAATCTGGACTCGGAGTGCAGCGAGATGCCGATGGCCTTTTTAAACACCTTACCTTCCGATTTTCCCTTAATCACGCGTTACTGTTATACTAGAAAAGGATGCCATTTTGTTTTTAAAGCTTATTTATTTATTTAAAATTTATTTCTTTTTCTTTTTTTTGACAGGCAGAGTGGACAGTGAGAGAGAGAGACAGAGAGAAAGGTCTTCCTTTGCCGTTGGTTCACCCTCCAATGGCCGCTGCGGCTGGCGCGCTGTGGCCGGCGCACCGCGCTGATCCGAAGGCAGGAGCCAGGTGCCTCCTCCTGGTCTCCCATGGGGTGCAGGGCCCAAGCACCTGGGCCATCCTCCACTGCACTCCCTGGCCACAGCAGAGAGCTGGCCTGGAAGAGGGGCAACCGGGACAGAATCCGGCGCCCTGACCGGGACTAGAACCCGGTGTGCCGGTGCCGCAAGGCGGAGGATTAGCCTAGTGAGCCACGGCGCCGGCCCAAAATTTCTTATTTATTAGAAAAGCAGAGATTTTCCATCTGCTGGTTCATTCCACAAACCCCAACATGGCTGGGGCTGGGCCAGGCTGAAGCCAGGAGCTTCATTTTGGACAAACACTACTATACACACTGCCCTACATGGCCTGCTGTATGCACACTGCCCTACACGGCCTGCTGTATGCACACTGCCCTACCACAGCCTATTGTATACACACTGCCCTACACAGCCTGTGTATGCACACTGCCCTACATGGCCTGCTGTATGCACACTGCCCTACACGGCCTGCTGTATGCACACTGCCCTACCATGGCCTATTGTATACACACTGCCCTATACAGTCTGCTGTACATTCACTGCCCTACATGGCCTGCTGTATGCACACTGCCCTAACGTGGCCTGCTGTATACACAGTACCCACACAGCCTACTGCATGCATACTACCCTACAAGACCTACTGTATGCACACTACCCTACGGGAGTGCAGGCAAACCCTGCTCTTGGTGTCGCCCAGCACGTGTGTGCTGGCCGGGTGATAGCAGAAACTGGCACACTTCCTCTCCCAGCTTCTGAGGACACGGCAAACTCCTCCGCTCTTTCGTGTTCCCTACAAAGGAGTCCAGACCAGGAGCCTGGGGCAGCGCTTCCCCTCAGACCGCCGGGCGGCGCAGGTACGTGGGAGGGGCGGGAGGCGCTCACTGGCTCCGGGCACCACACAGACAGCCAGGAGCTCGAGCGGGCTCCGGAGCCCTGCGCCACCAGCAGCAAAGCCGCTCCCGACGGCGGGGACCTTCAGCCTGGCTCTGAATTCCTTTGTTCCTCTCTGCCCATTCCTGCAGGTGACCGCAGGACAGCTGACCCTTCCCGACCCTGCAACACCAGGCGAGTACGCACGCCATCAAAAATACAAGGGGGGAGACCACCATCGGGCCTGGACCTCACCTGGTCGGCAGGGACCCGGCTGACAGCACGGCTGGGGCTCACTTCCAGAAACACGGGGCTTGCACGTGGTGCAGGGAGTTAAGTCGCAGCCTGCAATGCTGGCAGCCCATTAGGGATGCTGGTTAGAGTCGCGGCTGCTCTGCTCCTGATCCTGCTCCCTGCTAAAGCACCTGAGAAAGCAGCAGAGGACGTCTAAGTGCCTGGGCCCCTGTGCACATGTGGGAGACCCAGAATGGAATTCTTGGCTCCTGGCTTTAGCCTGGCCCAACTCCAGCTCTTGCAGCCATCTGGGGAGTGAAACAGTGGATGGGAGACAGGGTGTTATTAACTCATCCTGCTGGGAGATAGAACGCTGGACCAAGGGCAAGCCGGGGCCTCTCGTGGCCGCCCTCTCGTTCACCTGCCTAGGCCTGCCCCCCTACGGCGCCTACGCTAGGACCCAGGAAGTGGATACGCAGAGTGCTGTGTCTGTAGTTTGAGGTCACACAGCTAATGAGAACAAGAGCCGAGACTCACCCCGGGCTGTCTGGCTCCGGCAGCGCCTCAGACCTGACATTACGTGCTTAGCTAGCCCGTGATTCGGGACCCCAGTGGGGAAGTCCTGCGTGGGGCCACTCACCACTGGTCCTTTGTGATGGTCAGGAAAAGGGGCAGCCGATAGGCAAGAAACGGCAAAACCACCGCGCTTCCCACTCGCATGCTCCTGCCACTAGGAGGCGCCTCTCCACAGACTCTGGATGACACTCTCCCAGGGCCAATGTGGCTGCTTCCTCCCCCAGGCGCCGCCCCTGCTGCTGGCCTGCGTGGCTCTCTCTGTCCCCAGTGTGGGCAGCAAGGCGCCTAAGGAAATGGGATCTTGCTGACAGAAAGCCCGGCTGCCCAGAAGGAAAAACAAGAAAGCCCACCCCTTGTCTTCCTCACAAATCCCAAATGGGGCCGGAGTACACACGTCCTTGCCAACAGGTGCTCACGGATCATCTCAAGGGCGGGAGACCGCACAGACCGCGGTAGGACAGCGGGGCTGGGTGGGTGACTCGCAGGTGAGGTTTACCGAAGTCAACCTAAGGGGGAGGCTGGTGGAGGACCCTGGATGAAACGGCCAGCGAGCTGGCTCAGGCTTAGAAACAAACCCCACGGGACAGAGCTTTCTCCAGTGACAACAGCCAGTCCCCTCTGCTTCCTCCTTGGCAAGACCTGCTTGCAGAGGGCCCTGGGTGACCCCAGACGGAGCTGCGGCAGAGAGTACTCCGTCTGTCTGAGGCACAAGAACCACCGGGACTCTCGCTGAGCCCAGGAAGATAATTGCTACGCAAATCGCTGTGCCGCCAGAAACAACGAGGAGCGCTGGCAGTTCTCCGACTCTGGACAAAAGGGAAGCAAACAGGGTGGCCACTCTGCTCCGGCCCCTTGCTGGGCTTCCGGCCTGCGGGCAGATCACAGTGGGGCTCGCTGCCAGTGTCCAGGGGCCCACAGCCTGTGTGGCTGCGCCGAGGGGCCCGGCGCTGGGCCAGCAGCCTGGGACCAGTGCTGGCCTGCACGCGTGGGGGATGCACACACAAAGCTGGGTGAAGAAACACCCAAGGCGGCTCGGGGCAGGAGCAGTCTGGGTCCCCCTCCGCCAGAGTGGGGCGTGAAATGTTGGGGCTCAGAGAAATGACACCCCAAGTGTGGTTCTTGGGTGTGCCTGAGAACCAGTGTTCCCCCTCCACTCTCACCTCCTGAGCCTCTCCCCCGTGCGGGTGGGGAGGCCCCTGATTCTTGTTTCCGCCTTCACACTGGACCGGTCAGAGGACGCAGAGGACACAGCCGTCCCCCACCTGCCCCTGAAGTGTCAGCTCCCGCGGAGGAGACCGAGGCTGCAGCCACACTGAGCCCACCGTCACAGGTAACGACCGTCCCCAGACGGCAGATCCGGACGTCAACTCCGAGCTACTTTCTCACGCCTCCAGCAATCTCTCCCCCCTCCCCTTCCCTGCAAATAGGCCGTTTAAGCGTCAACCATCTGGACCCCCTTGGAGTCGCACACTGTGCACGGGGCTCCCGCACGGACCTCCCACTCGGTGGTCTGCTGTCAGGTCCCTGCGGGAGCCTCCACACAGCCACACTTCACTCCCGCGGGGAAGTCGCGGAAAGAGCTCTGGAGGTCAGCAGCAAAGCGCCCTTGAATCTCTGGCTGAGTGACTTGTGTGCGAGGGAGAAAATCCCAGCAGCTGGGGAGAATGCGGCGGGTCCCGGGGGAGAACTCAGCAGGGCCCTGTGACCTGGGGGAGAACACGGCAGGGGCCCGCGACCCGGGGGGGAGAACTCGGGGAGAGCGCGGCAGGGCACTGCCTCAGCAAGTGCTGCTCTGGACCCGCTCGCCCTGCGTCCAAAGGCAAACCTCAAACGGATTCACCTGATCCCGAGGGACTTCGGTACGCACGGAAAGAAATGGCCAGAACTCACAAACAATACGAGATCTCACGCTCAGCAGCAGTGCCTGGCATCCAATCAAAAGTTGGATGCAAAATGCAAAGACCAGGAGTAGAAGAAAAGTTAACGGACAGAACGCGTGTGGAATTGACGCAGATGGCGCAGGTAGGGGACGAGGTATCCGAACAGCTGTTACACGGATGCTCCCGGGCCCAAGGATATGGAGGAGCGAGACGTGGAGGCTGCAGCAATGACCCGGAGGGCATCTCTGTGTGTGAACGCGAAAGCTGAAATGAGATTAACAGGAGACCCGCACAGCGCAAGAAAAGCTCAGCGAACTTGAAGACACAGCAAGAGACGCTAAGCAAAACAAATCACGCAGCAAACAGCCACGGACGTCACGGGTCAGCGGGAGACCACCTTCAAAGCTGGACAACTAACAGTAAATGCATCAGTGTCCCCATCCCAAATCTGGAAACACCCAATGTCCTTCGAACGGCCACACGACCCATCCGCTGTGCCGCAACGAGAAAGTAAGAACTCCGAGACGTGCGCAAACATGGCATCCTCACCATCAATTTAAGAAACTGGGTGCAGACTTGCCTGCCCACTTGTGGGTGGGGACACCGACTAAGCCCAGTCTGGTGGCCCAGGGCTGAGCGGCCAGCCGGGAGCTGGCGCGCACTGTCCTCGCCGGGCACCAGCTCTGACGCAGGGCACTGCCAGCCTCCTCCCCAGGTGCAACGCAAGGCACCGGGCCACACGGTCTGCCCCGAATCTCACTGCCCCTGCACCCTGAGTGCATGTCACCTTCTTAGGATCTCAGGAATGTTACGTCAAATACAGGGGCAGGCGCTGTGGCGTACCAGGTAAAGGAGCTGCCTGCAGTGCCGCATCCCATGTGGGTGCCGGTTCAAGTCCCAGCTGCTCCCCTTCTGATCCAGCTCCCTGCTAATGCACCCGGGAAAGCAGTGGAAGATGGCCCAAGTGCTTGGGCCCCTGCACTCTGGCTCGTGAACCAGTGGATCAAAGATCTCTCTCTCTCTCTCACTCTGTAACTCTGCCTTTCAAATAAATAAAATAAACCTAAAAAAAAAAAAAAAAAAAAGCCGACTGCAGGCCAGGTGTGTCCCACAGACGCCACCTTCATATCCTTGGGCTGCCGCCACCCCCTGCCTGCCCCTCTGGGTTTTGGAGGGAGCTGTGTTAGAGGGGCTGGTGGGTGCCAGTTCCTGAGTCAAAGACAGCGGGTGAGAATGCAGCTGTGACCTTGTGCAGCGTATCTCCGCTCTCTTGGCAGGGGTTTTCTCATCAGTAAACGGGGTTGGGGGGACTTCCCGGGCTGAACCTCCCGCCCACGTCGTGCAGCTGACGAGGGGAAATGAGAGGAGGCGGGAGGGACAAAACGTGGCCACGACACCAACGGAGTGAGCGAGCCCCCGGATCCGGCGGCCCTGCCCCCAGATGTATCCCCCCTCTCCGGCTTGCGCTCTTCTGAGCTCTGATTGGCTCTGGCGACCGGGAGTGACCCCGCCCACAGAAGCCCTTCTATCCGGCCTGACAGCGCAGTTCCAGGCCTCTGTCACCCACCTGAGAGCGAGATCCCTTCCGCGAGCCCATACGGCAGGTACGCGAAAATGATCATCATGCCGAACTCCAGGGACGGCGTCTTCCTCAAGTCGATGTGCTTCAGCACGTGGGCCAGCGTCAAGGAAAGAGAAGCGAGCGCCAGCCGGCGGCAGACAGAAGTCACAGACAGCTGTCTTCGCAAGCTAAACAACGGGTACCAGCATCCTGGGACACCCTAGGTTGCGAGGGAGGACTCGTCCCTACGGGGCTTTCTCTGCAGGGAGCCCGTCACTAAAGCAAGGGGATCCGACAGAACACTGAGACACTAAAGCCCCGAGACAAACACTGGGCAGAATGAGAATCAACCCAAGTTGACTCATTTGAAGATGCTGACTTAGGGTGGGTGTACGGTGTGGCGGGTACACGCTGTGTGGGACCCTGCGACCTGTACCAGAGCCTGGTTCAAGTCCCAGCTCCACTCTGGATTCCAGCGTCCTGCCGATGTGCACCCTGGGAGGCAGCAGGTGATGGCTCAAGGACCTGGGTCCCTGCCACCCACTGGGGTCTGAGACCCAGACTGAGTCCATGACTCCCCGCGCAAGCCTGGCCCAGACCTGGCTGTTGCAGGCATTTGGAAAATAAACCAGCAGAGATGTGGGAGATCTCTGTCTCTCCTTTCAAATTAAAGAATGAAAGAACTTTCTTTTAAAAAACACTGGACTGGAAAGCAGCAGCAGATGGCCCAAGTACTTAGGCCTCCGCCGCCCTCGGGGGAGACCTGGAAGAGGCTCTGGGCTCCTGGATCCAGCCGGGCACAGCCCTGGCCATTGAGGCCATTTGGAGAGCGAACCAGCGGATGGAAGACCTCTCCCCCTATCTTTCCTTCTCTTTCTCTGTAACTGCTTTTGAAATAAATAAATAAATAAATCTTAAAAAAGAAAAATTGCTGACTTAGAGGACTGGGAATGTGTCGGGGGCCCGGGGAGTGGAGCAAGCTCCTTGGCTCTGCGTTGGTCATGTTAGAAGGATATATATATATATTTTTTTTTTTTACAGGCAGAGTGGACAGTGAGAGAGAGAGAGAGACAGAGAGAAAGGTCTTCCTTTGCCGTTGGTTCACCCTCCAATGGCCGCTGCGGCTGGCGCGCTGTGGCTGGCGCACCTCACTGATCTGATGGCAGGAGCCAGGTGCTTCTCCTGGTCTCCCATGGGGTGCAGGGCCCAAGCACTTGGGCCATCCTCCACTGCACTCCCTGGCCACAGCAGAGAGCTGGCCTGGAAGAGGGGCAACCGGGACAGAATCCGGCACCCCGACCGGGACTAGAACCCAGTGTGCCGGCGCCGCAAGGCAGAGGATTAGCCTAGTGAGCCGCGGTGCAGGCCTGTTAGAAGGATATTAACGCCGAGACTAAGCCAGAGAGAGGACCAGCCCCCGCTGCCAGGGCCCCTCAGCGCTGTCACCCCCACCTGAGGACATCAGACAGAGCACGGATGGGCACCGCCCCGACTTCCTCTCGCTGGGGTTCAATGTCCCAGTTCAGTGTCCCGTGACGAGGTTTGGGCACTGACTCCACCCCGACCTCGCTCACGGTGCGTGCACGGGGCTTGGGCACTGACTCTGCCCCGACCTCGCTCACGGTGCGTGCACGGGGCTTGGGCACTGACTCCGCCCCGACCTCACTCACGGTGCGTGCACGGGGCTCGGGCACTGACTCCACCCCGACCTCACTCACGGTGCGTGCACGGGGCTTGGGCACTGACTCTGCCCCGACCTCACTCACAGTGCGTGCACGGGGCTCAGGCACTGACTCCGCCCCGACTTTGCTCACGGCGTGTGCACGCTCAGGGCACTCCACTAGGTAATGAGGCACGGAGGAAAACGCTCAACTGGAACCGAGTTTTCTCCTTTCTTCCTTCTGCCTATTGGCACAACAGGAGAAGCTGTCAGCCTTCAGACTTCGGGGTGAAGGAGCTGACGGCAGGAACACATGCCCGCAAAAGGCCAAGAGTCTCTGCAGGCCATCAGTGGGGCAAACTGCGTGTGGATGAAGCCATGTCTCTCCTTGACACAGGCTTAGGCGCCGCAGGAATGCTGGGGTGGGGCCCGCTCCTAGGTTAAACAGAACGAACTTTCTCCAGCACTAATGGCGTCAGTGGCCTTAACAAGCCTCTTAGTGGCTGGCAAAGCTCATGGGAGGTGAAGCGCCCAAACCCCCGCAAAGGACCTGGCCGGAGCACGCAGCCGGAGCACGCTGGGAGCCCTCTTCAGCCCTTCGGTGTTTTCAAAGGCAATTCATTTCCAACTTTCTGCCCAGGAGCCTGAGTCAGCGGGAGGGGAAAATCACACCTGGTGGCCCACATCCCGGATGCTCTCAGCAGGGCTCGGGTTGAAAACTGACACCCTGGCACAGTGGGTTAATCCTCCGCCTGCAGCTGGCATTCCATATGGGCGCCGGTTCTAGTCCCCGCTGCTCCACTTCCAATCCAGCCCTCTCCCATGGCCTGGGAAAGCAGTGGAGGATGGCCCCTGCACCCACGTGGGAGACCTGGAAGAAGCTCCTGGCTCCTGGCTTTGGATCGGCGCAGCTCCGGCCATTGCGGCCATCTGGGGGGTGAACCAGCGGACGGAAGACCTTTCTCTCTGTCTCTCTCTCTCTCTCTGTAACTCTACTTCTCAAATAAATAAATAAAATCTTTAAAAAAGGAGTGCACCTGCTACATTTTAAATCCTTGAGTTGGGCGTTTCCCACCTCAAAGCTAGGCATAGGGCTCCTCTTTTCCACAAAACCGGAGGTTACAACGGGCTCCTCGAGGGCCGGAGAACCGGCCAGAGCTCGGCCTGCTCAGAGCCGCCACCGCCGCGCATGCGCCTCCGGTAAAGGATATCAGCGCAGAGATCAGGCCCGTCAGTGTGCCGAGCGCCGCCGAGCCGAAGAACATCTTCAGGAAGTAGCCGAGGGCCTGCAGGAAGGTCTGCCACCCGCTGACGTCTGACATGTTTTTCCTTGTTAAACCTTCAGCTGTGCTAGGAAATAAACGGAAGCAGAAGTCAAAATGTGATGGACGCGGTTCTCGGGGGGCCCTGGGGCTCCCGGTGCCCAGCGCATCCTCTCACTCAGCCGTCACTGATCAGTCCCAGGCTGACTGTCCCCTCCTCTGGCCCAGGACTGCCGCAGCTGCCAGGCACTCAGAGGTGAGGGTCACGGCCCTGGTGCCCCCCGTCCGCCAAGGGAGACCGGGGAGGGGGGGAGCGGACAGCCTGGGGGAAGGGCCCAGGGCCGAGGACCCACCCGAGGGCCAGCGGACAGCCTGGGGGTGTGTGACGATGTGTGAGCCGGGCTTGGTTACCAGGGGAGGAGACAAGGGAAAGCGCCCGTGGGTGAGGGAGCAGCATGTTTAAAGCAGGGAGCCCAAACACGCGGCCTGGCGTGGGAACTCAGTGCGGGTTCCCGGAGCTGAGCCTGGCGGTGGCCAGGCAGGGGGACGGCGACAGGGGCTGGGGGCTGAGGAGGGCTCTGGCAGTGCATCCTGAAGCCAGGGGCTCAGTGGGAATCCTGTGATAAACCTGAAATGGAGGCAGAGAAGGGAGCCGCCGGAGAAGCACCGTCAGACGGTGGGCCGACGGGAGGGCGCTGGGAGGCATTAGAGAGGAAGGCTGGGGAGGACGTCCCTCTCACTGCAACAGAGCACAGTCAACGGCAGTCATGAAGCAGTCACTGGGCTTATTCCCACAGGGAAAGCCATCAGCACTCCACTGCGGGGGCTCTTCCCGTGGCTCTGCCTCCCAGCTCTCTAATCCCCCTGCTTCCCCCTCCCTCACCCCTCCTCCCAGGGCTGGGCCTTGCTCACCTCGGTCTGTCCCTGCCTCCTCCACGCGGCAGCTTAAACGATGCCTTACGACGCACCACCTGTGCTGACGCTGCCTCCCCACCACTGCTCTCCGGCCTCTCCTCCTCGCGTGGGGCAGGGCCACAGTGTCACTGGCACCTCCCTGTAGGGTCCTCCTTCTCCCTTGCCCCAGTTAGCTCCCTATCCGTCCCTCAAACCCAGGGCCAGTCCACGCTCTCCAGGCGCCTGACCCTTCAGCAGCCTCTCGTGGGCCTGACTTGTTGATCACAGCACGTGAAAACCATGCCTGTGTCCCTCCTGGTCACAGCCACGTGGCCACAGCCCGAGGCAGATCCAGCACGCACAGGACACTCAGTGCGGTTCTGCTGAACAGGGAATGGAACCAGGAGCAGTGCATGGGACACCCAGCACTTCCTTTTCAAGCAGGATGGTCTCGGGTGGGAGAGTGGCTTGGTCACACCCAGGAAACCGACAGCGCAGGTCAAGGCGGGACACGGCAGAATGAAGGCTCCGAGAAGCCCTGCAAAGAGGAAGCCAACTTTCTCCTCCCATCTCCTTGCTCTCCCAGGAGAGCCAGCAAGGGCCCTCATGGGAAAGGCGCGTGGGAAGGCCACGGCCACCCACCGTTCCCATCGTGTGCAGCACCCCCCCACAGGGCTCCGACTCCACTGCCTTCTCCCCGCCAGGAGGAGGCCAAGGCCCAGAGAGGGTGAGGAGTGCGGTGAGGTCACCTGGGGTCGGCAGCAGAACCAGGCTGGCCAATGGTTTTGCGCTCAAGAAAAATGAGGGCAGATGGGGGCCGGCACTGTGGCGCAGCAGGTTAACGCCCTGGCCTGAAGCGCCAGCATCCCATATGGGCGCCAGTTCTAGTCCCGGCTGCTCCTCTTCCCATCCAGCTCTCTGCTACGGTCTGGGAAAGCAGAAGATGGCCCCAGTCCTCGGGCCCTGCACCCGCGTGGGGAACCAGGAAGAAGCTCCTGGCTTTGAATCGTCGCAGCTTCAGCTGCTGTGGCCATCTGGGGAGTGAGCCAGCGGATGGAAGACCTCTCTCTCTCTGTCTACCTCTCTCTGTAGCTCTTTCAAATAAATAAAAATAAAACTTAAAAAAGAAAAATGAGGGCAGAATCGGGACTCTGTCTGGACTGGCAATTTGCTACATGTATTATTATTTTTTTAATTTATTTAATTGAAAGGCAGAGTGAGAGAGAGAAAGGGAGACACAGTGACAAAGAGATCTCCCAACCCCTGGCTCACTCCCCAGATGCCCACAACAGCCAGGGCTGGGCCAGGCCAGAGCCAGGAGCCAGGACTCCATCCTGGTCTTCCACGTGGGTGGCAGGGACCCGAGGCCTCAGGTCAGCCCCAGCTGCCTTTCAGGGGCCCTGGTAGGTGCTAGAGCAGCAGTGGGGGAGGAGCTCGGCCCCGGTGCTCCGGTAGGGGCTGCACCTCACCTCCCCCCCCCCGCTCACACCCTAAGGAATGAGACAACACTGCCTCCACATCCGTTCACACATGTCAGCAGCAGCTGGGGAAAACCAGAAGTCTCGTCCACAGCAAGGAGTTTGCGAATTGTCATCGCAGAAGTCAAAATCACAGCAACTCAGGCTAATGCAGAAACAGAAGATGGTTCCCTTTCTGGCACTTAAGGAGACGACATCCAAAGGGGTCACTCGCTTGCACATTCAGCTGCAAGGACAAACGCATCACTCCCGTGAGGAGCCTGGAAGCTTCGCCCTCCACAGGCTGACTCCCCTGACAACCCAGGGAGCGCGAAGGCAGCGCCGGGCTGCGGGGCTGCAGGGCAGAGCACCCCGGTGGGGCCCGCGGGAGCCCCCGGCTGCAGCCTGGCCCAGCCTTGGGGAGTGAACCAGCGCACGGAAGAGCTCTCTCCCTCCCCAACCCCACTGCTCTGCCTTTCAAATACATAACTTTTTAAAAAGACAGCTAGCAGCCCCCTGCCCCAGCTCCTGGGCTCTGCACACAACGGGGGAGGAGCCCTGCTCGGTCCTTCCTGGCTGTGTTCCCCTGGTCCACTCCTCCACGCAGCTGTCACCGTGCGGACTGAGCCCCTCACATCCCCTGGTCTCAGAGGCATCCGGCGCACAGGGCCCTCCCCCAAGGATGACGGACAGCGACCCCGGCCTGTGGCATCTTCGCAGAGGGTGGGAGCTCATCCCTAAGTCAGCCGGCTCTCCGCAGTGCAGGGGGTGCAAGAGCAGGTGCTGACAGCGCTGCGGGCGGTCCCGCCGTGGGAACACCGCCACAGGTGAGCCCCGTCTCCAAAGGCGCCTTTCCAGGTAGGGCCTCAGGCTACTCACAGTAGTGCTGGTAGTGGCGCTGTTATAAACGAAGATCTCGGTATGGCAGGTGAAGCCGCTGCCTGCCACGCCAGCATCTCACGTGGGTGCTGGTCTGTGTCCCGGCTGCTCCCTGCTAATGGCCTGGGAACCTCAGTGGAAGATGGCCCGAGGGTGTGGGCCCTGCCACCCACGGGGGAGACCCAAGTGACGCTCCAGGCTCTTGGCTTTGGCCTGACTCAACCCTGGCCATTGTGGTCATCTAGGGGAGTGTACCAATGCATGGAAGATTTTCTCTGACTTTCAAAATAAATAAATCAATCTTAAAAAAAAAGAAACGATCTCATCTTGGGCCCTTTGTGCAGCAAAGAAATGTGGAAAAGGCCCAGAAGCAGTCCTACTTCTGACAGATTTCTGATCTTTAAATAAATCAGAGACAAAGCTTTTGAGTTTAGCTCCTAATGTACAAAAATAGCTCATGATGTCACCTCCAAGTTGGGCGCAAGTCCTTATCACAAATGTTCAGTCTGTGCAGCCAGGATGTGAGAGAAAAGCAACAAGCAGAAGGCTGAGCAGCTTTCAGAGTGGATCCCGGAGGAGAAGAAATGCTGCCATCAGGGTTTTCAAAGGCCTTGCGGCACGATGGATGCTAACTTCCTATCAGTGGTACAGAAATTCTGCTAAGAGAAACAGAAAAAGCCAGCAACAGGGACCTGGTGCGATCAGTCAGCGTACAACCAGGAACATGATGGTATAACCAGCAACACGATGGTGCAGAGGACGACCGACACTCCGAGGGCATGAGCCCACTTAAGTACCCCCGCGCTTGCCCCAATGAGGAGCCATAATCAGCTCCAGGCAGCAGCAGTGTGTGAACACTTCTTCCTTTGTGCTTGCATTTTTCTTTCTAAATTTTACATGAATACACGGATTACCTTTAGAATAACAAAGTATTTTAGAGTTTGTTTTTTTGGCTTGGCTTTTTGTTAAGGTCTGGGGAGCATCCCTTGCAACCAGCGTCTAGTAGGCTCTTCCCGCAGTTAGGGCAACACCGGGGCCCACGTGGCCAAAAGGTGGCTGGGGGAGGGGCTTGGGTGCCACGTGGTATACGGCGGTGCCGTGCAACTCTTCATTCCTCCTGTCCGGGCCCAGGCTGAGGCAGCATCACCCTCACTTTATGGCTCAGGAACTCACAGCCCAGAGAGCCAGAGCCAGAGCCGGCCCAGGGTCACACAGCGGCGGGTGGCGTCTCTGTGGCCTGCATGCAGGTCTGGACTCTCTCCACTATAAAATGTTTTCTAGTCTGCAATCAGCTCTCAGGAAAATGCTAACCACCGCAGAGTGGTCGTGCTTGACCGGGAACGCCCCAGAGGACAGACCGTTCTACAGCGCCAGACCGGCCTCTCCAAGTCTCTCGGCTCGTCTCTGACAACACCAGGGCTCTCTTCCCCACTTCCTTGATGGACTGTGCCGTTTCTGGCACAGCTCCCCAGGCCCCCCGGCTTCCCCATGTGTTACGGCCACCACAGAAAGCAGAGTGCAAGGAATCGCCCTGCAGCGAGGAAAGTTATCTGAGACGCATTTCCTTTTCCCTGCGACTTCTTGACACTGTATGGCTCATCTTTCACCTCTCAGATCCCAGCAAGCAGGGCAGCAACGCCTGGGAGCCCGGGAAGAGACCTGCGGCTTACCAAGCGGCTCCCACACAGCAGGCCCTGGAGGCGGGCCAGCCGTTAGTGTGACTGCCCCGCCGCACAGCTGTGAAACAGCTCTGCCCATGCTGCCCAGACACAGGCCCCTCAGCGGGCCGCTGCGTCATCATCCGGGGCCCCTGCCTCAACCCCACGGCCTTGGGACTCGCCCCGGACCCACTGAATCCCAAGCTCCGAGGGCGGGGCCGGAAGCCACACTTAGTAAGCACCCTCCTTGACGCTGGTGACATCGGGGCTCAGCAGGCACTAACGGCGAGCTCTCCTCTCCGAAGCACCCTGGACCCTGACATATTCCTGTGGCCCGACGTGGCCTGCCAGGGCAGACGCACAGGGAAGGACCCGGGGGAGCCCCGCCCCCCGAGGACAGGCCACTGCTCCCGCAACCGGGGTAAACGCCCGAGCCTCTGGTCTAGGGACTCTGGATTCTGCGCTCGAGGAGGGCGGCCTGCTCTCTCCTCCCCACGCTTACTTGGTCAGGACGATGGAGACGGCGTCGTTGAGGATGCTCTCTCCAAAGACCAACATGTTGAGCACGGGGTCCACGTGCAGCGCGTTGAAAATAGCGATCGTGGCCACGGGGTCGACTGCAGATATCAGGGAGCCAAACGCGAAGCTGCAAGAAGAGAGAAGGCTGGGGATCTTAACCCGCACCGGCCGGTCCACGCGGGAAAGCACTAAAGCCAAGGATGGGACGGGACGGAACAGGGCGCGCTGCAGTGGAGTAGCGACAGGAGACGGTGCGCATTCCCCACTGTCTGCTGGCTGACACGGTGGACGGCACTGCGCAAGGCCCACTCGAGAGCGAGTGGCTAGCAACGGCTACCCACCAGCAGCACTGAGACTTGACTTTGACCAAACACGGATGGAAGATATTCACTTAAACACATCATACAGTGGCCAGGCCTCTTGGCCAGGGCGGCTGGAGCCCAGGAGCTGCTGGCTTTGCCAAACATCGCAGTGCCATCTGGGACCCAGCCTCATTTCCACTCCGATCAGCAACGTCCCAGACTGCCCAACGCCATCTCCTAGCCAGGCCCGAGGGTCTTGCTGAGAGCACCCGTGAAGATCGATCAGCTGCCTACGGGGTCTCAGGCACTGAGGCGAACTGAGGCTGCAAAGTTCTCCATGGCACGCACCGCGCCCGGGCGCTGACCCGGCACTCGTCACAGAGCACCTCGATGACCCACACCGCAACTGCAGGACACAACACTGCCACTGTCCCAGGGACACAGCAGGACGCTGAGGGACACGAGAGGACGCAGCCCGTCCAAGGTCAGTCAGGTAGCAAGTGGCAGACCAGGGCTACAGGCAGGCTCGCGTCCTTGCTCTCACCACCACGGTGGCCACGGCCATACCCAGGGACTCAGACACATCTAGAGAACGCGAGAGTGACCTGGGCAATAGATCAGGGTGGCATGAGACAGAGTAGCCCCGGTCACCTTGAAGGGGGGAGGGGTCAGTGTCAAGAAAGAGGTGACACTTATCTAAGCAAGAACCTACGTGACAGGAAGCCGCTGGCCAGGCTGAGGTAACAGCAAGCAACCCGAGGAGGCAGCGAGCTTGGCTGCCCGACGAGCGGACGGCCGGTGTCGCGTGCGGCAGCAGGTGAGCAGGCGACACAGGCAGGGGAGGTGCACGTGAGCCTGAGGGCTCCTCCCTTAGACACTGTCCCTCCTCTTCCCTCAGACTGTACCAAGCTCGGCTTTCCCCTCGCTCAGCAGAGAGCTCTGCCCTCTTCCACTACACCTGAGACAAAACATGGCCAGCCCGCGGGGATGGCCCTGCAAGTCACAAGCCAGAGACTGCACACGGCCCGCAGGCACTGCGCTCTGCAGTGGGCAGCCGGGGAGGGGCACACAGGCCCCGCACAGGCCCCGCACAGGCTGAGCACAGCCCGGCCTGGCCGTCCTGTCAATAGCGCTCTCTCCCGAGATCGGGTAACTGGAGCCACAGTTTCCATGGTAGCTCCCTGGGGGTGGGATTACATGAATTCGCCCAGGAGGGCCTGTGGACCCCACAGATGATCTCTGTCCAGACCTCAGTGCGCAGATCCCAGCTGTCCTCTTGGAGGTGAGCACGCCCGTGAGCGTGCACAGGTGTGTTCCCGGGATCTGTGCTGAGCGCGGTCAGACACTGCAGAGGGTGGCAGCGGGAGGAAGGCATAGCCCCCCGCTGGGACTGGCCCTGGGACCTCATGCTGAGCCGGGACACGGAGCTTCTCGCCTTTGCTCACCCTCACCACCTACAGCAACATCATGAGGGCTGCGAAGGATGCCGGGACCGTCCAGCCCGCAGGCCTGGGAGGTGGCGGCAGGCCCGGGAAGGGCTGCGTGCATGCCTGTGGGCCTCGGCGGCCCTCCCATTCCCAAGGGAAGTACGGGAGGTGGCCACCACGCTTCTCTCTGCTCGGCAGCCCCCGGGCTTGGCGACAGCACCCAGTCTGTCCCAGGGGCCATCCCTGCAACCACAGTCACACTGGGCTCTGGGCACAGGCATGGGGCCCAGGCTGGGTCAGTGAGGGTCACTGGGGGCAGGCTGGCTGAATGAGGATGACATGAGCCTGGAGCCATCGGTGCTGCCATGTGGGGTGAGCGTGCCGAGGACGAAGCCAGTCAGGGCAGAGCTGGGCTGCGGCCCAGTGGGAGAACTACCACAGAGCCCCTGGAGGCTGTCCTGCAGGAAGCCACCACCTGGCGCCGCCACAGTCCTGTGTCAACAAGCTTCTCTTAAAAAAAAAAAAACAGGCTGGCGCTGCAGCTCAATAGGCTAATCCTCCGCCTTGCGGCGCCAGCACACCGGGTTCTAGTCCCGGTCGGGGTGCCAGATTCTGTCCCGGTTGCCCCTCTTCCAGGCCAGCTCTCTGCTGTGGCCAGGGAGTGCAGTGGAGGATGGCCCAAGTGCTTGGACCCTGCACCCCATGGGAGACCAGGAGAAGCACCTGGCTCCTGGCTCCTGCCATCAGATCAGCGTGGTGCGCTGGGCGCAGCGCACCGGCCGCGGCAGCCATTGGAGGGTGAACCAACGGCAAAGGAAGACCTTTCTCTCTGTTTCTCTCTCACTGTCCACTCTGCTTGTCAAAAACAACAACAACAACAACAACAAAACCAACGAGCCTGTGTTGGGTTTGAGATGTACAGAACTCAAGGCCTGGTGGATGCTTGGCCATAATCCTGAGGCACCTGAACTGGCAGTCGGGGCAGGAACTGTAGGACCAACCAACAGAGAGGGAGGAACTGTAGGACCAACCAACAGAGAGGGAGGGACAGGGGACGCCCCGCCCAGTGGAACGGAGACTGCAGGGTCTCGGGGTGGCCGTGGGCGAGTGACTGGGCTCTGGGCACAGGGAGAATAGCCCCACCCGGTGGAACGGAGACTGCAGGGTCTCGGGGTGGCCGTGGGCGAGTGACTGCTCTGTGTTGCGCCTCTTCTGCGTGTTTGACATGTTTCATAACAAAAGGCCAGGGGGAAGCTCCTTGTACGTCATTAAACACAGCCGGCTTTCTTGGGAGTCAAACGAGGGCAGCGGATTCCTGCCAGGGAATCTGGGACGTCTGAATCGGGGGCTGTCTCTACACCGGGAGGTGCGCACCGAGGGCTCACAGCCTGCTGGGCACACTGCCCAGCTCCGTGGCTCCGTGCTCAGGAGGCCAGAAGCCACGGGTGCAACCTGCAGACACGCTTTCTTTCCTGCGTCACCTCAACAGGTAGCAAGCCTGACAAACGGAAGACAAACAGACCGGATAGAGAACACTTCAGGTGTCCAGGAGTGGAATCGTTCAGCAGAAATATCACCGAGACAAAACTCTGCGTCCAAGTTATTGTTTTGTTTTCTAGAGCGCAGAGTTGCAGTGAGTGGTCTGTGAGTCTCATGTTTGGCCCGAATGGTGTTTTTGCAAAACTTATTAAATTGCCAACATTTAAAATCTGGAAAACTCCTTATAAAAGTGTACAAGTCTTGGTTCTTTTGGAAAAAAAAAAAAGTTAACCGTCTGGGCCCTTGCTTCCACACGGTAATCGCTGGGGAGGCTGGGGCGTGGCCCGTCTGACAGCTGTGCTCTCTGCTGGCCACTGTCCGCCTGTCTCACACCTGGCCGGCTCTGCGCTGCCAGGCGCTCTGCCGGGCCCTCAGCTCTGTGGTTTCGGGCCTCCAAAGCAGTCCTCCTCTAGGGTACAGTTCCTGACAGGAAATGGGGCACAGGGAGCACCTGTGTGAGCAGGAAGACACACTACCTGCGCATGTCAAGCCGGGCTCGTCCTCTCCCTCCTCAACACTCCAGCCACCAGGTCAATTCAACTGCACAGACATCTACTCGCGTTAAAGCAGAAAAGGGAGTGCGTGTTTAGCCTGGTGATTAAGACCCCTTGTCCCACACTGGAGCTGCTGGGTTTAATTCCTGGCTCCGGTTCCTGACTCCAGCTTCCTGCCAATGCAGACCCTGGGAGGCCGTGGTGACAGCTCCAAGAATCGCGATTTTGCCAACCACGTGGGAGACCCGAATTGCGTTCCTAGCTCCCAGCTTCAGCCCTGGCCCAGCCCCTGTCACTGCACACACTTGGGGGAGTGACCCAGCGGATGGGAACGCCATCTCTCTGGCACTCCAATCAATCAATCAATTTTACTATCTGGGTGGGCGTTTGACCTCACAGGATGCCTGCCTCCCATATCAGAGTACCTACGTTCCCCACCCGGCTCTGGCTTCTGACTCCAGCTTCCTGCTAACACAGACCCTGAGAGGGAAGTGAAGCCAAGTAACCGGGTTCCTGCCACACGTAAGAGAGACCTGCACTGAGCTCTTGGCGGCCAGCTCAGCCCAACCCAAACCGGGTCACTGCAGGCGTCTGGGGGAGTGAACCAGTGGGTAAGAGCACGCTCTCCGCCTCTCAAGGTAAAATAAGCTATAGAAACTTTGCAGCACTGTCTGGATCTCTGGCCGGTTGCTCCTCAATGTGCTGAAGGCTTGAGTCTGCGAGGCCTCCCTTATGTCCGGGGCACTTCCTTTCACTTGAAAATAGCTGCAAACGCGGGGCCTAAGCTCTGCTCTACGTCCAGTTCCTGGCTCTGAGTGCTCCTGTACACAGACGCTCCTTGGTGCCCTCCGGCGGGGACACCAAGCTCCCCATATAAAGTGGTGGAGATCGGCACGTCACCTACACATCCTCCTGTGGACTGTACGCACCCCTGCACTGCCATGCGACTAACACAACACGAACACTACGTCCACGATGTTGTACTGGCCTGTGCAGGGAGCAATGAGGAGAAACGATGAGCCCGCACATGTCCAATGCAGACACGCCTCTTTTTCCAGCTATTTCCGATCTGTGATTGGTTGAATCCCTGGACGTGGAACCCGTGGAGTTGGAGGATTGGCTATCTATAAAAATTGCCTTATAACAAACAAAAGCTCCAAAAATTCATGACCAGGGCGGGGACAGGGGCGGGACTGGGATGGACTTGCAATCAGGGACACATTTCCCAGGGAAAGGGTTCTAAGATTCTACTCGCCAGTCGCTAAGCTGCTGCTAAGCACCGGAAGCGCTGGCTGGCTGGCTGGGCCTGGAGGGATGTGGGGCTAAAGCCCGCGGCCTCACTCCCCAGCCCCCAGCTGTGCCATCAGAACGGGCCGGGCGCTAAGGGATGCAGGAACACCAAGCAAAGCTGCATGGGGCACTTCCCAGCGAGGGGCAGCGGGCGGACTCGGCCAGCTCCCCTGTCCAGCCGCCCGGGACACAGCTGTCTAGGTTGCTTCTCGCTAAGCCCGTTGTGGAAACTCCGAGACAGGTCTCCCAGATGGCTCTCACTAGGCAGTGCTCCCGGGAGCTCTGGACGCAGAGGGAGAGCCAGAGAGCTCCCTGGCCCTGCCTGCTCCGCGACCCCGGCGTGGTGGGAACGCCAGAGCAGAGCTCCGCCTCGCCCCCACCCCCACCCCGGCTCTCCCAAGAAGACACAGCCGTCGTCAGGGCCGGGGAAAGACCCGAAGGTGACTCTCGATACAGGACAACGGGACAGTACGTGGACAGGGTGGGCGGCTGACCGAGCGCAGGTCTTCCCTGTAAGCTTAAACCAAACGAATCACTTCAGTCAGAGGTGCTCTAGGGGTCTCCCAAAAGCCTCAAAGGACTTTTTATTCATTTCAGAGACACAGATTAGATTCGCGTGGAGTAAATTCCACAGCAGAAATCACCAGCGGCAGCAGGGACAGAGAGAACCACACCAGGGAGCGACGTGGAGAAAGTCTCCCCAGTCTGCAAAGCGGTCTCATAGTGTCACGGGATGAGGCATTTACCTGTCTGTCATGTTGAGCTTAGAGATTACATCAGCCTGTAAAATAGAACACACAGACACACAGACACAAAAACCCCTGGAGAACAGTGGAGAAGATGAAATGCCCGTCAGCATCTCATCACACGAATGCGGACATCACCTCCTCCGCCCAAACCACTTGAGAAATAAAGAACACGCCTTCGCTTCATCTGAACCTGCGTTTGGTCAGCACACAACGCAAGTATGAGCGGGAATGCTGCGTGTCCCAAGCCCGACCGACGCGGTTCCCTTCTCCCGCGTTTCCGTGTTTGAGCAATGCACCAAGCTGCAGACCGCCTGGGTGCCATGGAGGCGGAAACACAGGTGAAAATCGGGCGGCGTGGGCTTCAGCCGTCACGAGAAGACAGCTTGCCCACGTGAGCGATCCGCCGCTTACCCGGGCCTGACCCTCAACTTAGTTTTCAGAACTGGGGCAGGCAATCTCTCTACAACTGACACCGAAGGAAAAGCGCTGCGACACGCATGGCCGTGCGTGATGTGAAGCCACAGATCTGACTGTCCTGCCTAGGTCTGCTCTAAATTCATTTAAAGTAATCTGAAGTCTCAAGTATGGGACTTTCAATTGATGCCACTGGGAAGTGGCTTTGGCACGGAGCAGAATCCAGAGTATAAAATCCTACAGACAGGGGCCGGCGCTGTGGTGCAGCAGGTAAAGCCATCGCCTGCAGTGCCAGCATCCCTTATGGGCGCCTGTTTGAGTCCCAGCTGCTCCTCTTCCGATCCAGCTCTCTGCTGTGGCCTGGGAAGGCAGTGGAGGGTGGCCCAAGTCCTTGAGCCCCTGCACCTGCATGAGAGACCTGGAAGAAGCTCCTGGCTCCTGGCTTCGGATTGGCGCAGCTCCGGCCGTTGCGGCCAATTGGGGAGTGAACCAGTGGATGGAAGACCTCTCTCTCTCTCTCTCTCTACCTCTCTTTTTAACTCTGTCTTTCAAATAAATTAAAAAAATCTTTTTAAAAAATACAAATAAATAAATAAATCTTTAAAAAATCCTACAGGCAGACAGCTTAGAATGGAGTGAACAGATTCAGAATTATCTTTGATTTTAAAATGCAAATCTTAATTAAAAAACTCTTCAACTCTGATTTGGCCCACCTGACAACCCAAGTAATACCGTTACAGTCTGAAGATCTTGATGCTATGTATTTTTAGGCATCCAATTTCACACAGTGATGGCTTGCAAATAAAATCAAATACTTTAGGGATTACAGAAAAGATCGACCCAATTCCAAAGTTCTGGGAGGATACCTGGAAACAGTTTCCCATGCCTTCCTGTGCCTCCTGTGGCCTGGGGCTTCCTTCTGGGGTGTTTACCCTGAAAGTGAAACCCAGGCCCCATGAGATGGCCCCACCCAGCCCTGCCTCCCTGCACTCGCTCTAAGGATATGATTCCCAAGTGTTAAAAAAAAAAATGTTTTTCTTACCTGGCCCAGAAAATAAATTCCTCCACCTACTACAAAAGCAGAGATGGCCGTGCCAAAAACAGCAAACAGGGTGATGGAACCAATGTTTTGAAAGAAGTTACCCTGTTCGAAAGAACGGAAATCAGAAACGATTAGAAAGGCCGGCCCAGCAGTGAGGCTGGCTCTGGGCGCAGGCCTGGCTCGGTGACGGTGCAGCACTGCCCTGTCTGGGAAGCCCTCACTCCACACAGACTGCAGCGCCCCACGCCATGCACAGCATCCCTCAGCTGGACGTGGCCACAGCGCCCAGGAGGCTCTTCCCGGCTGTCCTCGTCCCTTTGCCTTCTCCAGAGGAACCTTCCAAAGGACAAACCTGACTGTGCCGCCCCCACTCCGCCCCCTTCCACTGGAGAAGCAGCTGCACCTAACCTGACTGTGCCGCCCCCACTCCGCCCCCCACTGGAGATGCAGCTGCACCTAACCTGACTGTGCTTCCCCCCACTCTGCCCCCCACTGGAGATGCAGCTGCACCTAACCTGACTGTGCTGCCCCCACTCCACCCCCCACTGGAGATGCAGCTGCACCTAACGGAACGGAGTGACCCTGTGGCGCCCCCACTCCACCCCCCACTGGAGATGCAGCTGCACCTAACGGAACGGAGTGACCCTGTGGCGCCCTCTGGTACCGAGCTGCCTTTTGTCTCTCCTGGTGAACACCAAGCATCCCAAGACCTCAGGGCATCTCCCCTCTTCCCGACCATGGAGACAGCTCCCAGCTCAGACCCTGCTCCAGGCTCTCAACACGCAGCAATCCTCTGCTGGTCTCATCTGACACGGCTGAGGTCTTCCATTTATTTCTGCATCTGTTTGATGGATGTCTGTCTTCCCAATGAGGCTGCAGGCTCAGTGGGGCAATGGCCACACCTGCCTCTGCACAGTGGTCACTGCCACGCTGCCTGTCAGATGGCAGACGACCAAAAAGCAGGCACTGGAAGAATGAACTGTTTTTCATGTTTGATCAAAACCCTGAATCTGGGGTGAATGTCTGACACAGTGGCTAAGATGCCACTTAGGACACCCTGTAACAAATAGGTCCCAGGTTCAAGTCCTGGCTCGACTTCCGATCCGTCTCCCTGCTAACGGGCACCCTGCCACCCACATGGGAGACCCAGGTGGAGTGACCAGCCCCAGCTGTTACAAGCATGCCTTTGAGAATGAACTAGAGACTCAAACAAACAAAAAACCCCAAAATCTATCTAATTTTTTTCACTTAATTAAGAACAGGTGCATTGTTACAAAGAACATCTAGAGAATAGGTTATACTACTACCAAAATTTCCTTTTTCTTGTTCAGGACTTTTAAATAATTTTATTTCCCTCTATTAGTATCATCATCAAGTATGACAGACAAAGTATGCTTCTATCTACACTTCACAGCAATTAAGAGAAAATATTTGAGTCTAAGGAACATGGCTACCTCTTCCAAAGTTAAGGAGATCAAGCTGTCTCTTAGAACCATACTGATCGACTCAGGGGCCTGGTGGGCCTTGGGTGCCAGCGTGGACGGGGTCTGCTGTTTGACCGCTCACTTCAGAGGAGTGAGTGTACTGACAGCCCCACTAAGCCACGCTCCTGCAGGAAACTCCTTTGTAGTCTGGCTCAGCGGCTCGTGATCGGATGTTCACTTCCTTTGGTTGGCCTATCAATCTTCAGTGCACAAAGGATTTTAAAATAACTCAAGGCAAACACAATGATTTGTTTTTTTCTAAACCAAGGGCTTTTGTCTATGATTTTTTCTTTGCGAATAGCTGCTTTATTTTGTTATTTAAAAACACATTAGACTAACTGGCCTTGTACTGTTTACAGGGATCTAATTCAGATATAAATTATGTCGTTGGTTAGTATTAACCTTGATACTGAAACTTTCCCAAATTCCAGTTACCCCACTGAAAGAACACCCCTCTGCCACACAGAGCACACTTACCTCTCTCTCCAACTTCCGATTCTTATACAACATTTACAATCTGATTAACAGTAGCTCGACTGCCATTGTGGCACAGTGGGTAAAGCTGCTACCTACAACACCAGCATCCTATACGGGCACCGGTCTGAGTCCCGGCTGCTCCACATCCGATCCAGCTCCCTGCTAATGTGCCGGGGAAAGCAGTGGAAGATGGCTCAAGGTCTTGGGCTTCTGCACCCATGTGGGAGACCTGGAAGAAGCTCCTGGCTCCTGGCTGTGGCCTGGCCATTGCAGCCATTTAGGGGATGAGCCAGCGGATGGAAGAGCTCTCTCTCTGTAACTCTGCTTTTCAAATAAATAAAATAAATCTTAAAAAACAAAAAACAAAACCAGTAGCTGTCTACTTAATGCATAATGACTGATGATTGTGTTCCTGAAATGTATATTTATATGAGCAAGTGCGCCAACACTAAGATAAAACATTAAATTCAAAGTCACTGCCTAACTCCTTTATAGGAGGGCAGGAAGGACACACAAATGAACTGGGATTCCAGTTCACATCTGTCCCTGCCACACCCTGTCACATGTGTTTGAAACATTTTCAAAACCTGGCTACAAAGCCTGTTTACAAAATGAAAGTGCAGAGATGTTGACCTTCAACTCCTTTTGTCTGTTTTTTTCTTTTTTAATAATTATCTGACATCAGTAACTGTAAGATCTGGTTTTTTTTTTTACATTATGCTTTCCCCCCCACATTTTCTTTAAATAGATGCCCAAGAAAATAAGAACTTAAAAAAATCTGAACTAAAAATGTTAAAATATCTTTGTTTTAATATCCAGGTAGAAAACTAAAGATTTAATTTGTATGTTTTTACCAAAACTTTGTGACAAATTCAAGGTTAACTTAATGAGCTGAGACTCCTGCTCCTGGTGACCCTGACGCTGTTAATCACAAGGACGGAGCACTCCCTTCACTGGGTGTGGTGGGCGGGGCGTTGCCCACATCCTTTCACCCCGTGTAAACCCCAAAGCCACCCAGGAAGCGGGGTTTGGGGTTGTCTGGGTTTTGTCTTTAATTTCCACTCTACTAAAATGGCACCTGCAGGGGGCAGCGTGTGACCAGACCTACACCTCTCTGGCTCCAAAGTCCAGGTTCCTTCCTCTCTATCCTTCAAGGTGTTTTACTACATACACAAAATAAATGCTGTATTATTAGTATTTTAAGTTGAAATTACCTTATTTTAAAACTTAAATATTTTTATATTCAAAGGAAATTTACAGACCAGGAAAAAGCCATGCAACACACAAGCTTAAAGTGAGAAGTTCCTGGGCAGGCAGAAGGAGCGACTCTGGGAAGACAGAGACCAGCAAAGCCAAGACAGACCGGCAGGGGCCCTGGCCACGGCTCACTGTCCCGGCCGGGACGGCGACACCAGGCAGAGCGGCTCTGGGCCCCAGTGCCGCAGCCTCCGCACTGGACAACTGGGGCAGGATGGCTCGGGCCTGGGGGGCAGCGGGGCATGGAGTAGGCAGGAGAGGAGAAGGCTGGGGGATGGGCACAGAGAGGGGACCAGGAAGGACGGCCGGCCGAGGAGGGAGGGAGGCCCTGCGGGGTGAGTGAGAGAAGCCAAGGCCTGGGGCGCATGTCCCTGTTGTCCCAAGACAGGCTGTCCTGTTGACCTGTGTCAGTCTGTCCAACAAGATGAGTTAAGGTTTCATCCGTGTGCCACTTAGGTTTAATCTGGCCAACTTCCTCTATGGAGAACACGGGGTGGACTGGCCACACAGCAGCCAATCTATCGCGTTTGGACCCCACTGCACACGACGGAACACAGACGCGCCCCTGCTGGACGGGCGGCCACGCTAAGGACCCTGCCTCCCCGACACGAGAAGGCGCCCGAGCCTCACCTTGTGCAGCGAGTAGCCAGACTCAAAGATGATAGGCGGGAGCAGGAGGAGGAAAAACATGTTGGGGCGGAACATTTCTTCTTCCTGTAAACACAAAATGGGTATTTTCAGAGGCACGGCTTTGTGTAGTTAATAAACGGATTTACCAATGACGAGCTGAAACGATCCTCGGGGCCCAGCCCAGCGGGGACGCGGAGATGACTACCTGACCACAAATGCAAGCAGGAGAGCCCCTCACCCGAAACCCACCCCCAAACTAAACTGCGTTTTAAAATGCAGGCCAGGAGATTTTAAAAGGCAACCCACAAAGAAAGAGCACAGTGAACTGCTTCCACACACTCGGGACACGGTTCTTGTTGCTTAGGAAAGAAAATTAACGTAGAAAGTTTTGATTCATAATGAGCAGTTTGAAAAACAAGTGCACAAACACACCCCGTGCTGCCACCTTCCTAAGTCCGTCTGCAAGGAGACAGTCCCCAGCTGACCCCCTGGGGACCGGGGGTGTGGCCCTGAAGCCAGCCCCTTGCCATGCTTTTGATTCAAATATTCAGACATTTAGTGCCACTCTGAAAGGCACTCCTAGAGGAGAACCTCATGCTCTGTATTAACCTGTGTCTAACTGCTGTGAGACCGGGGAATGAGTCTGTCGCGGCCCTTAGACCCCAACAGCGACCTGTAAGAGTCTCCCTCATCTCACAGTCAGCGCTCTGTCACGTGAACAGCTCTGTGCCACCATCTCGACAGTCTGATTTCTTATCAAAACCCCTACTCAGAGGGATGACTAAATGTCATCTCGCAAATGTACAGCTGTTACCACAAAGACCAAAATAACATCAAAAAAGGCTCAAAATGGAAGCAAATGATGACTTCTGAAAAATGCCTTGTTACGTCTCAAAATAACGGCATGATAAGCTCAGACTCAGCCGGGGCCACGTGAAGAGGAAGAGGCTAAGCGCTGTGATTGTGGGGCCGCTACTTTTGGGGTCTGTCCAGTGGGAGCACCGCACAGATCCTATTTCAAACACCAGATTCCCCGGGGGAATGGAGAGCCTACTTGTAGTGGGGCTGCACAGGGCACCTCACCCCAACCCATGCCCTGGGGCCCCCAGCACATGGCCTTGCGTGGCGACTGTGCCTGCAGCTGTGATTAAGGTAAGGATGGGACGAGATCATGTGACATCCAAGAGAAGGGCACTTGTAAGGGACAGAAAAGGACCGCGGACCAAGGAGCAGGCCTAAGACCCGGCCGAGTCGCAGGCCGTGAGTGCCGGGGCCCCGGGACTGTGAGGGAACGAATCCGTGTCTTAAGCCGCAGCTACCGGTCCTTTGTTTGCAGCCTTGAAGTGAGTCCCTTTCCCCCACCTCTCAGGGAAGCTGTCACAGAGAAGGCCCAGGCTCTCGTGGCGCCGTCTCCCCTAAATGGGGGGGAGTGACTTTAGGCGCTACATGAGCCGTGTGCATCCAGTACCGCTCACCGCACAGACTGAGGAAGCCAAGCCCCTGCCCTTCTTTTTCAATCCCAAATAAATCGGACAACTGAGCTCAGCACTGCCATGCTAAAGCTCTTTCCAACGTGCCGATCCCCAGGGCCATGGCGGACATCACTGTATTTATGAAAACAGACTTGGTTCCTGACTTAAATTAAGATTTCATGGTATCCAATGTCCACAGCAGCTCTATTCAAAGTAGCTGAGGGGCCGGTGCCCGTGGCTCACTAGGTTAATCCTCCGCCTGCGGCGCCGCCATCCCATATGGGTGCCGGATTCTGTCCCGGTTGCTCCTCTTCCAGGCCAGCTCTCTGCTGTGGCCCCAGAAGGCAGTGGAGGATGGCCCAAGTGCTTGGGCCCTGCACCCGCATGGGAGACCAGGAGGAAGCACCTGGCTCCTGGCTTCAGATCGGCGTAGTTCTGGCCGTAGCGGCCATTTGGGGGGTGAACCAACGGAAGGAAGACCTTTCTCCCTGTCTCTCTCTCACTGTCTAACTCTACCTGTCAAATAAAAAATTTAAAAAAAAAAGTAGCTGAAAAGTGGAAAACAGCCCATGGCTCCATCAAGAGATGAATGGAGAGGCAAACTGCGGCACATACTTCAAAATAAGGACCATCCACCCACAAAAAGAAACCAAATTCTCAGACCTGCTGTGGCAAGCGGGAAACATCACGCTAGTAAATATGCCAGGACAAACACTGTATGATTTTACTGATATGTGGTACTGAGCAGGCAGACTCATAGCGGTGGGAAGTAGGTTAAAGGTGCTGGGGGTGTTGGTTATGGGGAAATGGGCAGTTACTGCTCGTGGACACAGAGTTTCTGCCTGGGATGGTGAACAATTCTGGAAATAGACAGTTTGATGGGTGCTCAACACTGTGAAAATATTGAACGTTACTGAATGACACACTTAAAATTGCTAAAACTAAATGTCATGCTATGTGCATTTTACCATAATAAAAAGGGGGGAGCTGTTTGGCCATTAGGGTGCTGGGTTGGGACACCCAGATCCCATAACGGGGTACCTGCATTCAAGTCCCAGCTCTGCTCCTAATGTCCGCTTCCTGCTAATGCTGGGTCCCTGCCACCCACACGGGCCAGCTTCAGCCTGGCCCAACCCTGCTGTTACAGACATTCGGGGAGTGCAACAGCAGGTGGAACTCTCTCTTTGCCTCTCAACTAAATAAACGAATAAAATTCTTTTTAAAACTGCTAAAAACACACATAAGTAAAACAGCAAGTTCATATAAAGAAGTGTGTTGCACATAGACAGTGGAGATGGAGGTGGCCCCGAGGGCAGTCTGGAAGCGGAGCTTCACGCTGGTTTCTGTCTCCTGCTGCTCCTGCTCCTGAGTTTCCAGACCGATGCCCTCTTTCCACCCTGCTCTCCACAGATGCCTGCTCCTCCAGGAGGCTGGCCCCAGCCTCCCAGCCTAGAAACCCCGCCTTTCCCCAGGTCAGGCCCTGGCTGCCCGAATGGCTCTTCAGGCATTTAAACTGCCAGTCAACTCTGGTTCAGCTGCTGATCACGTTACCATGCTGTACACATTACTATGATTTTATCTTGCAAAGTCACATCTGTGGGGCAATCAGTAACACTGAAGCACATTAAACTAAAAGCGAGAGATACCTGCCCATCCCTCCTGCTACCGCTCAGGGCAGGGCTCACCGATGCCAGGTTTCCTGGGGCCACGCTGCCAGACCAGGGGCACAGCCACGGCTCAGGGTCTCTGGTTTTTTTTCTTTCTTTCTTTCTTTTTTTTTTTTTAAGATTTATTTATTTACTTGAAAGTCAAGAGTTACACAGAGAGAGGAGAGGCAGAGAGAGAGAGAGAGAGAGAGAGAGAGAGAGAGAGAACAATAGCTGCAAGGGCAGGAGCTGTGCCGATCCAGAGCCAGGAGCCAGGAGCTTCTTCCAGGTCTCCCACGTGGGTGCAGGGGCCCAAGGACTTGGGCCATCTTCTACTGCTTTCCCAGGTCATAGCAGAGAGCTGGACCAGAAGTGGAGCAGCAGGGACTTGTACCGGTGCCCATATGGGATGACGGCACTACAGGCAGCGACTTTACCAGCTACGCCATACGCTGGTCCATGGGTCTCTTTTGGTGGGCCTAATGTTAAAAGAGCTTCGCTTTTTCAAGAAAAGCTAGAAGTTCAGATTTTTATGTGAAATTGCCAAATTTTATATAGATTAATAGTATTTTAAAATCAAACTAAAAATCTGAACTGTTTTTTATATCAATTCAAATTTTGAACAACTGATTTCAAATCAAATCAAATAGATTAATGGGTAATAATTACCCATCGGGCTATATCTAGCCTAGAACTAGAGAAAGGGATTTCGGATCCCCACTATTAGGGCAGTTAAAACTTTATTATTACTGTTTTTTAAGATTTATTTGATTCTATTTGAAAGGCAGAGTTACAGAGAGAGGGAGAGAGAGCTTCCATCCTCTGGTTCACTCCCTCAAATGGCCACAACAGCCGGGGCCAGGCAAGGCAGAAGCCAGGGCCCTAGAGCTTCATCCGGGTCTCCCACACGGGTGCCATCTGCTGCTTTCCCAGGCGCATTAGCAGGGAGCTGGATGTGAAGTGGTGCAGCCGGGGCTGGTGTTGCAGACGGTGGCTTCACCTGCTCTGTCACAGGAACAGCCCAGGGCGGTTAAAACGGAACCAAGTTGGGGGCTCAGTGTGATGGTTTTAGCCATTTAGTGCTTGATTACTTTGGAAAGGACCTTATTTTCCTCCACAAATTGAATTTTCCAACACGTCTACTAATATCGCTCTGATCTATATGAATGCTCCAGTTTAAGTTGAATTTTGAGCTGCTGTTGGTCCGTGTATTCCAGGATGACGCTCACCCGCTAGTAAGCACTGTGTCAACACAAGGCTATGGAATCAGCGACCTGTGCCAGCTGGTATGCTGGTGAACACACTGCCCGTTCAGGCTGGACAGCCTGGACACGAGACTCAACCTGGCTGTGACACTGCACACGCCCCAGCCTCTCTGAGTGCCACTCTCTTCCTCTGGAAAAATGAGGTGTGCAGCACCTGGTCTATCTCACAAGGCTGTCATGAGGACATCAGCTAATGTGTCTTTTTTTTTTTTTTAATTATTTATTTGACAGATAGAGTTAGATAGTGAGAGAGAGACAGAGAGAAAGGTCTTCCTTCCATTGGTTCACCCCCCAAATGACTGCCATGGCTGGCGCGCTGCACTGATCCAAAGCCAGGAGCCAGGTGCTTCCTCCTGGTCTCCCATGCGGGTGCAGGGCCCAAGCACTTGGGCCATCCTCCACTGCCCTTCCGGGCAGAGAGCTGGACTAGAAGAGGAGCAACCAGGACTAGAACCCAGCGCCCATATGGGATGGTGGCGCCGCAGGCGGAGGATTAACCAAGTGAGCCACGGCGCTGGCTCCAGCTCATGTGTCTTAAGTAAATTAAGCGCTACGGTGCCAGATGAACAGGCAGCTGTCCTTACCTGTCAGAGTGGCCCTGGGAGCAGTAAACACTGCTTCATGTTTAATGCTAATTAGCCTCTTCCCCTATCAATTAGAAGCATAAGGATTATAAAAATGCAAACAACAAATAAACATTGTGTGCTCTCATGTTTATTCACACCAGTGTGAGAGTCATGCTTGCCCTAAAATCTCAGATGTAAAGGTATCAACCTGAGAATGTTCAAAAGCAATGGGACAGCATAAACAACTTCACTGACAGTCAAGTAACGATCAGAAAGCCAGTATAACCATCAGTGTGAAAACCAAAGCTTGTGATTATGTTTAAAAATGCAGTTAGGCAAACCTACCTTCCAATTCGCCAGTTTTTTGAACTCTATAATTTTTATAACTGCTCCCATAAGAATACCTAGAAGAGAAAACAAAGTTTAACATAAACATAAGATATGGGAAAGATTGCTTTGGTTTATTTTTCCAGAGAAGCTGAACATTATTCACTGTATCTGTAAATGGTTGTCACGGAGTTCTGCCAAATTTTACGTCTGAAAATCTAATGGAAATGAGTGTGGGGTTTTATGAGCCATGCATTTCTCACTTGCATCTCAGGCAAACACACTATAATGAAGTCAACACAATTCTGGGGGAAGGAAAAGCTTACCAGGCAAGACACAAGGATACTCAGCTTGGCATGGAAGATATTTTCTTCCGATTCTTTAAAAATATATATATATATTTTATATATATATATTTAAAGAAAAAGAAGAAAATATCAATTTCAAATATATTTCAAACATATATTTTATATATATATATATTTCAAAGGCAGGGAGAGAGAGAGAGAGAGCAAGAGAGCACTATCTTCCATCTGCTTGTTCATTCCCCGTGTGGCCCCCTCAGCCGAGGCTGGACCAGGCTGAAGCCAGGAATTCCGTCTGGGTCTCCCACATGGGTGGCAGTGACCAAGTCCTGGAGCTATCATTGCTGCCTCCCAAGGCTGTGTGTTAGCAGGAAGCTGGAACTGGAAGCAGAACTGGGGTTGAACCCTGGCACTCTGATACAGGATGTGGGCATCCCAAAGTGGTGACCTCAGCACTAGGCCCACTGCCCACCCTGCATGGAGGACTGACACCTGTCAATTCTGTGACATCCACTCACGGTCCACGTGAAATGGCAGAAAGTTTACAAGTTTGCTCTGTAGCCACCATTTCCAAAAAAGAACCAAAATTGCATTCTTAGCCTCAGATGCTGCTCTACATTCAGTGTTGATTAAAGATAAAACATCAGTGCTGAGAACAACCTGAAGTAACAGCTGTTTGAAATTCCTGGAAGAACACTGACCCTCAAAGCTCACCCTGCCCCAGAGCAGCCAGGCTCACAGCCCTCCCAGGAAGTACCCACCACAAAGAATTATCCGATGGCTCCTCCCTTCCTTCCTTCCTCCCTCCCTCTTTTCTTTTCTTTTCTTTTCTTTTCTTTTCTTTTCTTTTCTTTTCTTTTCTTTTCTTTTCTTTTCTTTTCTTTTCTTTTCTTTTCTTTTCTTTTTTTATTTTCTTTTTTCTCTTCTCTTCTTTTCTTTTCTTTCTAAATTTATTTATTTGATAGGTAGAGTTACAGACAGAGAGAGACAGAGAGAAAGGTCTTCCTTCCGTTGGTTCACCCCCCAAATGGCCACTACGGCCGGAGCACTGCGCCGATCCGAAGCCAGGAGCCAGGTGCTTCTCCTGGTCTCCCATGCGGGTGCAGGGCCCAAGGACCTGGGCCATCCTCCACTGCCTTCCGGGGCCACAGCAGAGAGCTGGACTGGAAGAGGGGCAACCAGGACAGAACCTGGCGCCCATATGGGATGCCAGCGCTGCAGGCGGAGAATTAGCCAAGTGAGCCACGGTGCTGGCCCCTCTTTTTCTTTTCTTTTCTTTTCCTTTCCTTTTCTCTTTTCTTTTTTCTCTGTCTCCCTCCCTCCCTCCTTCTCCTTTTTTCTTTTCTTTTCTTTTTTTTTCTTTTTTATTTATTTTTGACAGGCAGAGTGGACAGTGAGAGAGAGAGACAGAGAGAAAGGTCTTCCTTTGCCATTGGTTCACCCTCCAATGGCCGCCGCGGCCGGCGCACTGCAGCCGGCGCACCGCGCTGATCCGATGGCAGGAGCCAGGAGCCAGGTGCTTTTCCTGGTCTCCCATGGGGTGCAGGGCCCAAGCACCTGGGCCATCCTCCACTGCACTCCCTGGCCACAGCAGAGGGCTGGCCTGGAAGAGGGGCAACCAGGACAGAATCCGGCGCCCCGACCGGGACTAGAACCCGGTGTGCCAGCGCCGCAAGGCGGAGGATTAGCCTAGTGAGCCGCGGCGCCGGCTTTTTTTTTTTTTTTTAATATTTATTTCTTCAAAGCAGAGTGAGAGACAGAGAGGTCTTCCATCTGCTGGGTCACTCCGCAAATGGCCACAACAGCCAGAGATGGGCCCATACAAAGCCAGCAGCCAGGGGTTCTTCCAGGTCTCCCACGTGGATGCAGGAGCCCAAGGACTTGGACCATTTTCCGCTGCTTTCCCAGGCACGTTAGCAGGGAACTGGATTGGAAGAGGAGTAGCTGGGACTTGAACCAGCATCCATGTGAGATGCCAGTGCCAAAGGCAGCGGCTTTACCCGCTACACCACAGAGCTGGCCCCAATGGTCACGCTTCCTAATGGCCCCATCAGGCCCCAGATGCACAACTCCTCACCACTGGGCCCATTCAAATCAGCTCGGAGCCTGTTCTGACAAAGACGCCCAAGCAGAACGCCGCAACCTCTGGGAGGCGGGACACAAAGGCAGCCTGTGCACCAGTGCAGGGACCTTAAGCATCACACAGGACCTGGCTCCCCGGACAACACAAGGCTGCGGAGTCCACCTAGGACTGGAGGCAAGTTCATCAGAAAAAGGGCTGCACTGCACGGAGAGCTCTGTGTGGGGAGGGGTGTGGTTCGAGGTAAACAGAGAATAAGTTTAACTTTATAAATCTCCACACTATTGACATTTGTATGTATTATTTTGGGATAGAAAAAGTAACCAAGACAAAATACAGCCACGGTATTAAGAGAGTCAAGGAATACACTTTCATTTTTTTCCCCCCAGAGATTTTTTTTTTATTATTATTTGAAAGTCAAGAGTTATGGGGCGGGATGGAGGGATAGCTTCCAGCCACTGGTTCATTCCCCAGAGGACCACAATGGCCAGGGCTGGACCAGAGCGAAGCCAGGAGTTTCATCCAGCTCTCCTACATGGGTGTAGGGACCAAGGACTTGGGCCATCTTGCTGCTTTTCCCAGGCCATTAGCAGGGCACTGGATCAGAAGTGGAAGAGCCAGGACATGAACCAGCACCTATATGGGATGCCAGCATTGTAGGCGGTGGCTTTACCCACGACACAACACCAGACCCAGAACATTCACCTGCTAGACAATATGGAGCATACATTATTCTTCAAATAATTTTTCTTAATGAATTAATTTGAGAGCGAGAGTGAGAGTGAGAGACAGAGAGAGACAGAGAGAGACAGAGAGAGAGAGAGAGAGGTGCATTTCCCATTTGCTGGTTCATTTCCTGAATGCCTGCAACAGTCCCAGCTGGCCCAGTCTAAAATCAGGAGCCTAGAATTCAATTCAGGTCTCCCACATGGGTGGGAAGAAATTGAGTACCTGGGCCATCACCGGCTGCCTCCCAAAGTGTGTATGAGAAGGAAGTTGGATCAATAGCAGAGACTCAAACCCAGGTGCTGTCACATAGGATGCGGTGTCCAAGCAGTGCCCTAACCACTGCACCACACACCTGCTCCCCCAAGCTCATCCTTGTCCTCTCTTTCCCTGCCCCAAGATAATTTAACTACCTTGGTAGTTTGGGGGAATATTCTACCAGACCCTTCTCTATCCTTTTACATATACATATACACATATCTTGCACATGTATATGTAGATATACATGTATATATATGTATAAATAAGTATATTTAAACACTTGGCACTGGTGTATGTGTGCATATGTACACAAAAGGCACTCCTGAGTGTAATCTACATGAAATTTGTGGTATTGGAATGCATCATTCTACTACTTGCTATTTTGTGCAGTGTTACATCTTAAAGATCTAGCCAGAGATTATTATTTTTTTAAGATTTATTTTATTTATTTGAAAGACAGAGTTACAGAGAGAGATAGAGACAGAGAGAAAGGTCTTCCATCTGTTGGTTAACTCCCCAGATGGCTGCAAAGGCCAGAGCTGAGCTGATCTGAAGCCAGGAGTCAGGGGTTTCTTCCGGGTCTCCCACATGGGTGCAGAGACCCGAGGACTTGGGCCATCTTCTACTGCTTTCCCAGGCCACAGCAGAGAGCTGGATCAGAAGAGGAGCAGCCAGGACATGAACCGGCGCCCATATGGGATGCCGGCACTGCAGGCCAGGGCTTTAACCCGCTGCGCCACAGCGCCAGCCCCTTTCAGACAGATGCTTCGTTCTTTTAACAGCTCTACGGCACAGCACAAAAATGACACAACCTGATGAGGTGTTTCTCTCAAGAAGATACGCAAGTAGCCGATAATCACAAGTTCAACTTCATCAGACATCAGGGAATCGCAAGTCAAAACCATCACAAGACACCACTTCACATCCCGCAAGATGGGAGAATGTAAGAAGTGGCCAAGCACGAGCACTGCTGTGGGCAGAGACGAGACCCCTCCCACATCTCTGGTGGGAACGCGAAGAGGTGCAGCTGCCGAGGAAAACAGTGCGGCAACCCCCAAACGGCTGGGTGACCCCAGGACCCAGCAATGCCGCCAGGAGAACTGAAAAGGTTCTCACACAAAACAATGTACTCAGATGTTCACGACAGCATCCTTCCCAACGGCTCGGTGCAGAGGGCCCACACGTCCACCGGGCAGTGAGCGGGTAAACACCCTGCGCCGGAGGCCTGCTTGGCAGTACGGAGCTACGAAGCACTGCCGGCTGCTGCAACAGGGATTCGTCTCGGGAACCCAGACGCAAAGACCATGGGTCTTACCTTCCTATTGTATCCAATGCCCTGGTTAGGTCAATCCACGGAGACAGAAATGGTGAGGAAGGACAGGGTTAGGGATGACAGCCAAAGCCTCCGGGGGTTCTTTTTGGGGTGATGAAAGCATTCTATAATTAATCATAGTAATGGCTGCACAGCTCTGTAAATATTCCACAAAATCACTGAATCGTACATTTAAAATGGGTGAATTTTGTGCTATGTGAACTAAATCTCAAAGCTGTTCCCCCCCGACTTTTTTTAATAGTCACAGATTGTATGGTTCCACTTTTTTTTTTTTTTTTTTTGACTGGCAGAGTTAGACAGTGAGAGAGAGAGACAGGTCTTCTTTTTTCAGTTGGTTCACCCCCCAAATGGCCACTACGGCCGGAACACTGT